GAACACTATGTAGAAATGTCGTCCCCCTTTTCAGTAGCAAACTGCTTCAAACCAGTAACATTTTAAAGATTTTCTAAAATGAACTATTCATTTCAGATCCTCTTCAACATTTCAAGGGTATTTAGGTCTGGATTTGGATTTGATTACTCTAAAACATTTAATTTACTCTTTATGTTCTCTGTTTAGATATGCTTGTACATTTGGGATATATCATCCGCTTTGCACTTCAGCTGATAGGTAGATAACCTGTGAAATTCTTTAGTAAAAAGCAGACTTTTATAATAAGAATTTATTTTGGTAAAGTCAACAGTGTTTGCTGAAATTGATAAATTCATTAATTATAGAAAAGGTACTATCTACATTTATTGATGAGTGGTAACTTCTTAAAGACTATTTGTGTAAAAATGAAAAAAAAAATCAACTTGTGATTTATGGTTTTGGTAATTAAGTAAGATATATTATAGGAAGAAGAGTAATAGAATGGTATTTTAGGAAGAGAATTTAAATATATATTTGTAGTTACAACTGCTATGAAGTGTATTGGAAGCAACTTCATTATATCTTTTTTCTTTTGTATCTAATTTTCTTCAACTTTTTTTAAAATTCCCTTGCACTTTTTGCTTTTACTTTGATTTCTTTCTTTCCCCCTACTTTATATTTGGTTCTGTTAGTTTAGATCTTCTTATCTGAAAGTTTCAATAAAAATTATATTTAAAAAAATAACAAGTTCTTTCCGTTCCAAAGAAGCATGTCATCCCTAAACCATGATATGACCATCTCCACAATTGACAGTTTGTTATAAAGTTCTTATTGTGCAATTTAATGCTTGGGTTCTAGTATACATTACATCAGTGGAGCCAAAAATTTTCACTTTGGGCTCATCTATATATAGAATATTCCTTTAGAAGTATTGAAGATAATCCAGTAGCCTTTTGAAAAAGGGAAGATGAACATCACAGTTCTTCTAAGTGAACTGTGGCTTCTGCCTTCTTGCTCTTCATGAATCATTATCTAGTGCTATTCTGATGATGGAGTTGTGAACATTCAGGCAAGATAAGAGAGCCCTGCAGATCCTAGACCTTCTTTGTGAATTCCTGTGTGGGTTTATGCTGTGCTTTTGGAATGATTTTGACAGGACAGTAACAAACACTGTTGTTCCAGATCACCTCCATTGTTCTTCTTTAACTGAATTGTTGAATGCTCAGAGTTCTAGAAACGGCTTTGTATGGTTTTCAGACTGATAGCCACCAATGTCTCGCTTGCAGAGGCTTTCAAATATTTTGTTTGAACAGAATATGGTATGACTTTAAAAATCTGCATGGTCAGAACTTTACTGTAATAAGTCAAAGTCTTGAGATTTATGTAGGACTGGGCTAGCCCAAATCTGCTCTGGTCATTTAATGAAATACTAAAGACCCTGACCCTAATCATCCCTTTAATTGAATTGACTTGAACTAGATAATTATTTGGCAAATCCCAAAAGGTATATAACTAACATAAATGAAAAAGGCACCAAACTTTGATATTATTTGTTCATTCAGAGTCTCTTTATAAGTACCCCATGATGTTCTGATAACATTGGTCCTTTAGAATCATATATCTAGCTTCATGCTACTGATATTTTTTATCAATATGATATTTTCATGATATAGTTGAAAACTTCCATTTTGCGTTGAGGAGTCTTTAGCTGGAAGTTCAGAACTCTGAACTGAGTGAATTGTTTTGACTTTGAAATGGTACAGGATTATATTAATTTACATAAAGAAATAGAGTTGTAGAAGCATGACAGGCTCCATTCCTTTTAGCCTTTATCTCTTTAGTAAGAATGATTTGCAGATTTAGACCTCTGCAAGGGAAATTAGTAGTTTTCGTAAAACTAGTAGTAATATCCTGTTTCTCCAGTTCATCTGCACTACCTGCAGTTACATAATTTCATTGGAGTCATATGGAAAATTTGAACGAAGCACAGTCTTCTACAATGGATAGTTTGCAAGAGATCAAAGCAACACAGCAGAAACCATATGATAATTCTGCATCTTAAGTGGATAGTCTAGAGAACTTCAGCCTGCATTTACTCTAGTGCTGACACTCTGTTTTCTCTAGAAATGTAAAGAATGTTTCAAATTAAGACAGTTTCAAATTTCCAACCTTCTGTTTTGAGCTCAGTACATCTTATTTTAAGTTCTAAACCGCTGGACTGATGCAGGATGGTGTTTCAAATGCAAAATGGGCCATTTCAAGCATTTGGAGACTGTTCTGAACTCCAGACATTTCTACTTCAAATTTCAAAAGTCTTAACAACAGCTCATTTCAGAACTGAAGCAAAAGTTCTGCTCTCAATCAGGATATTTCACATTCAAAATTTATTTATTTATTTATTTATTTATTTATTTATCTATCTATCTATCTATTTATTTATTTATTTATTGGTTTGATTTATATGCCGCCCTTCTCCAGAGACTCAGGGCGGCTTACAATGCGTTAAGCAATAGCCTTCATACTTTTTGAATATACCTGCTTAGTAGAGCTTTTGGGCCCCCCTAAGCGGTGTTCTTTTTTATACAAAGTCAGCTTATTGCCTCCACAATCCGGGTCCTCATTTTACCTACCTCGGAAGGATGGAAGGCTGAGTCAACCTTGAGCCTAGTGATATTTGAACTCGCAGTAATTGCAAGCAACTGGCAGCTAAGTGCTACTTAACAGCACTTTAGTCTGCTACACCACCAAGGCTCTTGTCTCCTTTTCCCAGTCTAGGAGTCTTGAACTGGGCTCAGTGTTCAACTCTCATGAATTATATACACCACAGGAACTCAGGAACTCAAAACCTAGGTACAAAAATGCTTCTGAGAAGTCATTGTTGGGTGTGTGTGGGTGCCAGATAAACTTCCCTGTCTAGCTTTCTACATCCGAAACCTTCTCCCTTGCAAACATCCACTTGACTTCATTTACACTGGGAGAACAATAGGATGATGCATTCATCCAAATATTCAGCCATTTGGGACTTTAAAGGCCTGTATCAAGCCTTTGATTAGGGCTTGGAAATGAATTGGCAGCCAGACCCGATCAATAGTCCTGAATGTAAGCTATGATCCTGTTTTGGATAGGTTTACACATTGTGCTGAGCTGGTTTGTTTTAAGCCCAGTTTATAGAACCATCTATTCTGACGTGATTTCCAGATAACACTGGGCCATGAACCATGATTTATAAACTATAGTGGGTGGGTCCATTTATCATACTAACCTGAAATTGAATAACATGCAATATATTTTGAAGTGATTTGTCCCTTCTCTGGTACTCCCATCCCAGGAGCAGTAGCATTGCATAACTGAGACATCCCCCCCTTTTAACATACCAGTATGTTATGACATTACATACATGGGGCAATACCTCTGCCCAATAGTGATGAAGGTACTGTTACAAATACTGGATACATTATGCCCATAATGCCATAAATTGCACTCAAAATATATCTAGCAAAACTAAGAAGAATGCAAAATGTTCTGAGTTTGAAGCCTTATCCAGGGTTCCAAGATGCACTAAGCAATTCTAAACCTAACTAAGTGCCTTTTGTCATAATGATCTTTATAGGGAAGTCTGGAAGTTAAGAGATCTGGAGAATGGGTAAAACAAAGCTTATTGCTTCACACACACTCCCCAGCTTCCCTAGCTCCCCACCTGTTGTGGTCCACCAGCAGCCTGCGGAGCTGGCAACAGAGTCGTACAGTGAGGAGGCTGGGGAGGACAATGGGCCAGTCCTGGAATCAGGGGAAGGCCCGGATGAGGGCTCTGCCTCAGAGGGGCCAGGGGCATCTGGGAGCGATGCGCGGACTCCGGAGCCTCCAGAGGCAGACAGCAGAGAGGCAGAGGAACAGGAGGAGCCTGTTCCTAGTGCATGCATGCGAAGAGCTGCCAGAAGACAAGAGCAGCTAAAGCAAAAAGGACGACTCGGGAGTAAGGTCAGGAGATGATTGGTCCCTCCCATAAGGCTTAAAAGAGCAGCAAAGACACTTGGGCTATTTGTAGGAAAGCAATGTTGCTACATTTGTTTCTTGTCGGCCTCTCTTGTTTCTGAACTTTGTGGGGCTTTGTCAAGAAAAACCTTTGGCAGGGTGCCAAAGAAGACAGGTTTGCGATAAGGCCGAAGGACTTTTTCTGAAGGACTTGTTTTGCAATTAATTTGGACTAAGCTGAGAATGAAGTAATCAGCTGTTCTAATAAAATATGTTTGTTTAGGACTGATTGTGTCTGGTAATAACTACTTGGGCCTAGGTCACAACACCACCCTCACCCCTTTGGTGCTTGCCAAAGAGCTTTTGAACAAGGCTGTGAGTTCAGATTCTTGGATACGAAGGATAATCTTTGTTCTTTTTCAGGATGGTGAGAGATTTCTTCTGTATGTGCATGTGTGTACACACATATATACCTGAGCAATAGGGGTCTGAAAACAGTGGAATTTGAAATGCTTGAAGTCCAGCTCAGTTGTTTGGAGAGAGTGTTTCATTTCACATTTGAAATGTTCTCCATACACTAAACAAACAAAGACAATTGATGCAATTTCTGGAGAACTGAATTTCATCATATATCCACTATCTGTAAATTTGAATGTCAAGCTGAAGCAATTTAACTTTGTAGGTACAATCCACCATCGTCTGTTCAAGCATCAACTTGAATGTGTATAATATTTTGCTTGGTGCGTGCATTTTTGTTGATACCTCCGTGTTCCCTCACACACCCATTTTCAAAACATTTAAATATTTTTCTCTTGACAGTTTATATTCATTGCTCTTAAAGGTAAAAATACCTTTGAGTCAAGCTCAATTGCCAACACCCACAGAGATGTAGTGTGGTTGGCCTATCTAAGTTACCTTCTGATCCTTGATAACGTTGTCCAAGTGCTTGCTACTTGCTGGGAATCTTCATTCTTACCATCCCTAAAATATATATTTCTTTTTTAGTTGAACAGCTACTTATTTCCCTGCAATTTCTCCCTCTTTTTCAGTGGTGTATGAACATCGATCAAGACTAGAAAAATCTTTACAGAAAGAAAGGCTTGAACATAAGAAAGCAAAAGAAGGTAATATTTACATTTCAGATGAATTTTAAAAGATTTTATCAGCGGAGAAATGACGTTTGTAGGGTAGGAATTCAGATAGGCAATTTAGGGTGGTATGCTCCTTTAAAGTTGGCCTGGATTGAAACTGTCTTTTTAAAAAAATGACAGGCTTTTGAATGCTCTTGGTGGTGGTGGTTGGGTGAGATTTCCACAGCTATGCAGATAAGAGCTGATTGTTTTATGGTTTCTTACCACCATCTAGTGGATAAAACCCATTTTATCTGCAACAATTTCTCTGCAAGCAGAGACATATTTCATTCAGCAGGATGGAGCCAATCACTCAGTCTGGCTGAATTTCTATTCTGCCAAAAATGACAATAGGCATGGTAGTAATCCAATTAACAATGAACATTCTGGTGTTTGAAGACTGGGTACATATTGAAAAGTCAGGCGCAGACTGAACTAAAGGCCTAGCAGAGGGTTGAGTTAGTCATTTGTGCCCTTTTCCAGAGACTAAGGAATTTTATCTCTCAGTAAGGCTAAACTGAAAAGAGCTGAAGAAGCTTCTTGGATGAGAAGCAAAACGTCTTCAGAGAAAAACCAGAAAGTCCAATTGCCTCTTGAAAAAACACCTTTGGGACAGCCATGACCTGGATGACTGAAAATCTTCACAGTCTGAAAATTAGTTCCTTTACACACAAGGATAACTAGATACGTGTCTTTGTGAATGAACTACAGTACTGCATTTACAACATTACACTATCTGTACCTGGATATCTGATGCACTCACTTCAAATCCCATGAATTTGCATGAGTTGCTTTTAAACCTAGTTGTTATCTATTTTAATCATGACTGAAGTGCTATTGATTTTAACTGGCGCCAAGTGCCATAATTTGGGGGGACTCTGCCACAGGCAGAGTCAGTTTCCATATTTATCAGTTCTCAGGTACCGCTCAAGGGTATATGGTAATTGAATGCAGAGAAATTGTGTATGGCTGAATTACTGTGTGAAATCTTGACGGTGAAAGGAAGTTTGAGCTGGAGTTGCCTCCAGAGAGAATAGCTGTGATTCTGGGGTTTTATTTATGTATATGTTCCTGAAGATCATTCATTTTTCCCCTTTTCATTTTTGTATTTTAGACTTTCTTGTTTATAAATTAGAAGCACAAGAAACATTAAATAAAGGAAGGGTAAGTCAGCAGAAGTAATTGATAAGTTTTTCTGCACGTAAGGATTTTATCAAAGCCTTTGAAAATTCAAAGTGTAATGAATAAGATCTAATTGTCTGAATTCTGAATAACTTTAAATATATAGTCACTTCCTGAAAAGGAGGGATTTTAAGCAATGGTGTCTTCCAGGGCTCTAGTATTGGGATTGATGCTTTTAAATATGATAAATGATCTAGAGTGTGTCACCAAATCAACTGTAATTTGGAATTCTGAAAATGTTTCTGGTGTTTTTGCAAAATAGCTGCTGGAAGGGAGTGATTTTACCCAAGTCCCGTGGACAATGGAATCAAATACGTAATACTCCTTTCCCAGAATGCTTCCTGTCAGATCCACTGTCCCTTTTCTCATAAAGTTAATCCCAGTTAACAATTTACTTTTTTGGGGGGGAAGGGCAGGTGAAGACATTTCTGAATGGAAATATTGGTTTTCAGCTGTCCAAAATTTTTATTTTCTGAAAAAGCATGTAGGCCCATTGGGAGCCCAGCTGTATTTTTAGAAATAAGGATTATGCTGGAAGCTTGTACTTTGATTTTGTACAACACGACAGCTTTATATTAAAAAAGTAGAAAGTCAGGTGGGGTGTGGAGTTTGGCAAATGACAAATGAGGCTTCCTCAGAGACATCGATGCCTCACTAAGAATGCTTGAACTGGAGAAACAATGTTGTTCAAGGTGATACCACATTACTTTCAAAAGTATCATCTGAAATAGAAAAATTTGTTATTAAAATGGAAAATTTAGTAGCCCTGATGGCACAGTGGCTAGAGTGCAGAATTGCAGGCTAGCTCTGCCCACTGCTTGCAGTTTAATTCTTATCAGCTCAAGGTTAACTCAACCTTCCATCCTTCCCCGGTCAGTAAAATAAGGAAACAGATTGTTGGGGGGAATATGCTGACATTGTAAATCTCCCAGAGATGCTGTAAAGCACTGTGGGGCGGTATAATAACCTAAGTGCTATTGCTATTCTTAAAATAATTTTCAAAATAAGCATAAATCCTGCGATGGGGGAGTTCTTAAATGTATGCCATGATGAGATCTGAGATGCTGGTGACTTCCCAAGAAAATGATCTGGTAATGGACAATTAAATAAATTAAAAAATTCCACACTGGGGATAATTAGGAATAGAATTGAAAGTAATTACTGTATTTTTCTGAGTATAAGATGCACCTTTCCCCCCCAAAAAAGAGGGTGAAAATCTGGGTGTATCTTATACTCTGAATGTAGTCCTGCCCAGCTTCTCAAACGGAGTTTTCAGAGGGTGAAAAAAAGCATCAGAAACGAAGCTTCAGAAAAGAAGCCCCCAAACAGAACTTCAGAAAGAAAGCCCCCAAGCAGAGCTTCAGAGGTTTTTTTCTGAAGCTGTTTCGGAGGCTTTCAGAGGCAGAAAAGAAAGTTTTTTTCTGAAATGGAGTTTCAGAAGTCTCAGAGGGAGGGAAAAAAAAGCAAAAAAAAAAAAAAAAAAAAGCAAGGCACAGAGCTGACAACTAAGGAACCTGTTGCTAAAATTCACCTCTGGGAACAGCTGATTGGGGGTATTCCGGGAGGCCGATCCACCTGCCAATCAGCTTTTTTCTTATTTTCCTCCCCAAAATCTAAGGTGCATCTTATACTCCGGTGCGTTTTATACTCTGAAAAATACGCTATGTTGATACAGTTCTCAAAATGATGCCAACAATAGCAAATGCAAGGGAATTGCTTGACCTTTTGTAACAATTCTAAACAGGATTTTGGGGATTTTTTTTGTACTTGTTCCACCATTCCACCAATGTGCCGCACATTCATGTCACCCTGAGGCAGGTTAGTCAGTTGTGAGTAGGATCCCTGGATAATTCATGGCTTTCATATGAGGGAACAGAGAAATATGGCAGACAAGCATATGGGCAAACTTTCCATTATCTTCGCTGCTGCGATGTTTTTAGATGATTGGATTTCAGCACCCACATCTTTAGTCAGTCTGTAATCCAGATTTGTTTCAGTGTTGTCTAGAAATGCTGGATTTCTACATCCCTGAACCTCCCCAAGTTGGGACCTCTAGCAATTGAATTCAACACTTCAACACAGCACTGAGCCAAGAAAGTATGCAGCTTAAAATCTGTGCACCCCTATGGCCAAATTCAAGAACACGCTTGCAATTTCCATAGCATGCAGAGAAGTGCCATAGCTATGCCAAAAGCAGTTGAGGTCTTATCTAACTATGTGTTTCTTTTTGTTTGTTTGTTTGTTTTGCAGCAAGATTCCAATAGCAGATATAGTGCACTGAACGCACAACATCAGATGCTGAAGGTAGATACTTGAGTTTTTGTTGTTTTCTTAATGGTAGGCAATTTATAGCCCTTACAGCTGCCATCCTTCACATGCAGTTAGTTTCCTGGCAAACAAAGGAAATTTTATGTAAAAGCTGTAAAAACAGCCTTGATAAATTTGGCAAAGGTGCTTTACAATCAATGTAGGCATTCCTGCTGGACCTAAACACTTTTCCTGAACCTTGTGGCTACCATATGGGTTCAACAAGGGTGCCTATGCTCGATTTGGAGAATCTTTTATCTGCTTAATATTAGAATATCCATGCCATTGAATGTAAGATTTAACTTGAAAACTGTGGAAGAACTGAAAGACTTGAAAACTGAACTTGAAATCTCTCAGAATATCATTCCACCATTGAACCTACCTTCTGCTCCCCTTTTCGGCTACATAAAATAGGCCCATCTCTGTCTTTATCCAGTCTTTAAATAGAAGATGATGGGTGGGTGATGATGATGAAATCAGGCTTCTAGTCCTATTAAGCAGTTGTCAAAATCTCCAGTTAAAAAAATCTTTTTTGACTTTAGTGAGTCTGCTAGATTTTAGGAGAAGGCTGGCTTCCTGATCACAAAATGTTTTCCATCCGATCATCACCTCAAATTTCTTCGTACTTTGAAGAGAATTAAAGATACTTTTCACATATGAAACCCCCACAAACATTTCAGACGTTTGATGTGTAAGTACAGAAAGCAATTGGGTGTGCAAGGTTTACGGTTTGGAGCGGGAACCCCGGGAACCTTCTGAGATAGTACAATTTCGGGAAGAGATTTTAAGGATCAGAAATATTGTGAAATATTGTTAATATCAGTAAATAGGGATTTACTGATCTGAATTTCAAGATATGCTAAAATATCATTTAAACTTAATCTGACAGGGTTCCATCTTCCCTTTTCTTCCTGTTTTACATTTGTGATATTTTATTGTTACTGATATACACCTTGCAGGAAAAAGAAAGGATGGAAGGAAGAGCATGTGTAGCAGGGTAGGGCTAAACCTTAAAATGGGTTGAAACTTTTTTCCAAACTATTTTTTTCTTTTTCTTTTTTAATATATTTTATTATTTTTTTAAGACAAACAAACATTTAATACATCAATCCTCCCTTCCCTGTAGCGCCTCGGTGTTATCTTCTAGGCTTCTTTTCCATCTTCCATAAGTTTCTTCTATCTTCATATTTATCCAAACCATTCTAACATTTCATTTCTAAAGCAATATTATAATCATCATTTGTACACAATCATAGTATCAATCATTTATATCTCTTTTCCAACCAACTATAAAAATAATTCCATGTTTTAAAATATTCTGATTCCTCCTCATCTTTAATCATCAAAGTTAATCTATTCATTTCTGTACAGTCTAATTTTTTTTTATTACTTCTTTTTCCAAAGGTATTTTCTCTGATTTCCAATTTTGAGCATACACAATTCTTGCAGTTGTTATTACATGAATAATCAAATATACATTTTTTTCTTATCTTTTCGGTGAGAGGAGGCTATATTCTAAAAAATGTCAGAAAGTATCAAAATAAGGACAGCTAGTTTGGTGCAGTGAAGGCATCAGGCTAGAAACGGAGAGACCATGGGTTCTAGTTCCATCTTAGGCACAGCTTGAGCCAGTCACTTTCTCTCAGCCCTAGGAAAAATAGCAATGGCAAACCATTTCTGAAAACCCCCACCAAAGAAAACCAGACTTGTCCTGGTACTCTCTGAGAATCAGACATGATTGAACCAAAGGAAAAAAAACAATCAAAATAAAGAAGTAGGCCAGAAATGGTATACTGAGAGCATCATCATCAACACCGCACAGTCCCCCCTCCCCCTAAAAATGATCATTGTCTCATCCTTGGAGTGATGCTGCATTGAAAAATCAAAAACAAAATTTGGCAGCTACATAGATCAAGAAATCCTTGTGCTGTTTTCTTGTTTTGATTTTGTGCTATGCAGAGCCAGCATGAAGAACTAAAGAAACAGCACTCAGATCTGGAAGACGAGCACAAGAGACAGGGAGATGATTTCAGCCGAGCAGTTGATGAACACAAGCAAAAATATGTGCAGTTACAGCAAGAAAAGGAGCAATCGCTGTCCAAGTTAAAAGGTATAGAGGGATGCTGTTTAAGTACAGTAGTGGCCAAAATTGTGGAAACCTTTTGGGAAAAGTGTATTTTCTAAAATTAGTTAATGACACCACTTTTTTTTGGGAGTAGTACCATGAAATTATATATCAATGGAAATATAATTTAATCAAGAATGTAATGCAATAACTTTTATGAAGGATCTGCTATTAGAATAGCTGTTACAGTATAAAGAAAAAAAGTGAAGCACGTAGAAAAAACGAGATATACAAAAATTATCATCGTAGAAAAAATAAGATATACAAAAATTATCCCCATGTCAGTTAATACTTAGTTGGGTAACCTTTAGCATGAATTACGGCCTTACAACATCTTCCCATGGAGTGAACCAAGTCTTTTAGTTCTGCAGCTGTTATAATGTGAAGCCAAGATTGAATAATGGCTTCTATTAACTGGGTTTTATTGCTGGGTCGCTTCTGACTAGCAAGTTTCTTTAGTTGGCTCCATAGATTTTTCAATTGGGTTACGGTCTGGGCTATTCCCAGGCCATTCCAGCAGTGGAATATGATTATCTTGAAACTCCAAAAAAAAAAAAAAGTGGTGTTATTAGCCATCAAACCTCAAAAATACACTTTTCCCAAAAGGTTTCCATAATTTTGGCCACTATTGTAATTTTGGAGTTGGAGAATGTAGGCCATCCTGTAGAGCCAGATCTCATTTGACTAGTAGGTAGGAATGAATTATGGGGTTTTGCAGTTTGATACAGCAGTGGGAGGCATCTGTTTGGGCAAGACAGGTCTATTCAGATTACGATTGAGTTAGTTAATATTTGAAAACATAAATCAATTAGAATTCCTCCCTCAAAGATATGTCTGTTCAAACCCTTTTTTACACTGAATTTTAAACAGAATCCATGTACAATCTACAAGAAGAAAACAGACAATTGAGGAGATCCCACCAGGATATTCATACTCAGCTGCAAGATGTGAAGGTAAGATCTTGATCTCCTAAAAAGACATGAGTGGCGAGAAAGAGAGAAATGCCTCTTTCTTTACAAAGAGGAATAAAAATGTTGCCATGATGTATGTAACACAATGAGAAAAATGTTTCACTTTTGTGACTTAAAAGAATATGGTCAACATTTTTTTAAGTACACATTGTAGCATTTTGGAATTGTTCACACAGATCACCAATGAACAATTTAACGTATCATCACTCTACTTCTTGCCCTCTGAATAATTAAAAAAAGAAGTAAACATATTTCTTGCATGTAAACTGTTACATTTTGATTTTTTAAAAAATCAGTAAATTACTAAATAAGCCAATATTAAGCCCTGGTTTTTACATGTTAAAAAATCACATTTCTATCCTTTAAGCCACATTTTTGGCTTCCATATATTGATAATAGGAATGTGACTTTCTATTCTGACTTCCATATGGTTTGGTACACACATACCCATCACACTGTTCCCTTTTTGAAGTTGGCAGGGTAATTCAGAGTTCAGAACTGTAATAAGAAAATAATAAGCTGAAGACATTAAAGGGATGAGATAATAAAAGAAGAAGAGATCTACTTAATTCTACTTTATACTAACGCTGTTCACTCCAGATATCTATCCTTTCAAATCCTCTTTGCTTCTACTATATCTGTATGGTATTTCATACTGTGTTTATCATCTATTTCATCAGCTCCAATTTCTTGAGTTTCTTCTCAACCCATTCATTCTTCCTTCCTGTATGTTTTCTGCTCCAGCCACATTCTTTTTTTTTTCTTATGACTGATCAACATCAAGATTTTTCATACAAGTAGTCCTCAACTTATGACAGCAATTGGGAGGAGAATTTCCTTTGCTATGGGTTGCAGTACTGAAGCATGGCTACATCACTTAGCAGCAGCAATCCCTGCAGTCCTGATTGCTGTTGTTAACTGAATGTCATGGTTATTAGGCCAGGCAACTTCCAACCTGGCTTCCCACAAGCATGGTCAGTGGGTGTTGTGGCCTGTCGGCTACCGGCCCCTCCAACAGCTGAATCAGATGAGGAGGTATGGGAGTCAGGGTCAGCATCAAGGCAACCTGAGAGCTCCAAGGAGGAAGAGGGAATGGAGCTGTCAGAGAGAGAGAGAGAGACAGAGGCAGAGCCTGGGCTGTCTGCCAGCCCTCAGATGGAGAGTCAACAGCCCCCAGGTCCGGAGGTGGCTGATGAGGAAGAGGAGGAACAGCTGGGTCCAGTGCCTGACACGCAGATGCGCAGAAGGCAGAGGAGAGGAGAGCAGTGGAAATCCGTGGGCCGATCCTTGGAAAGGAAGAACACCTCTGCTAGCGAAGCCCCACCCTAGCTCTGGGGATAAAAGGCAGGGGGTGGAGTTGAATAGATGTGGCAGACACACTATTCATCTTCCGGCTGGATGGACTTGTTAACCTGCGGTGAGAGGGAAACTTTTTGCCAGGGTTGCTGGCGGTCCTAATAAAGGAATCTTTGAGTTAACTTTAGGGGCTTTGTTGTGTTTGGGGAGCTGGGTCAGAACAGTGGGGAAGCTGAGATGAAGTTGCAAGTCCCAAATCTACAGGTAGGTAAAGTGGGAGACGGAGTGAAGATGCACATGAGGTGTGGCGTGGGAAAGATACATGAGGGTGCGAGGGAAGGTCTAGGAGGATGCAAAAGGATAGGAGGGGGTGAGAGAGACTCAGTGGAGGTCAGGTAGGATGCACAAGATGCAAAGGGAAGTGTGGGTTGGAAGGCTGCCTGAGGTGTGAGGAGGTTCACAGAGGCACTGCATAGGTTGGGGACGATAGGGTTGGAGTGGGTGCCCAAAGTTGCAAGGGGGTGCACGAGAGGCCGAGCATGTGTTGGGGAGGGGATGCTAGAGGTACCACACAGGTCAGGGAGCGTGTGAGGAGGTGTCTGGAGACAACAGTCAGAGTGGGAGTGTGAGAATCTTCTGCTAAAATGATTATGCCAAAGAATCACTTTTCTTATTCAATGCTGAGTCTCTGAAGGTTGGAATCTGAAGGTTTTTCTGTACTTAACATGACTCATTCCCAACCTTGGATTCACATCACCTGTATAACCCCCCCTCCCCCCTCCCCCCTCCCCAGCATTCACTCAGAATGTTGCACAGTTTTTCTGAGAATTCATTCCTCATTTTTTTCATTATAACAGTTCACTGGAGCGTAACATGCAGCACTTGCCTATAAATTTCTATTTTCATACACTCTTAAAACAGTCTGAGTAATACTAGTTCATAGTTTTTGGCATTCAGTTTAGCTCTTTTATTCCTAATTGAACTCACACCTTCACATTCATGCATGTATTTATCAACAGCATTGCACAAGTTCCAACTACCTTCGTTCAGATTTATTACAATCCTCTTAGATTCTCTGGCATACAATGTACCTATTTTTCTTTCTTTCATTCATTTCAGTTATTCATTCAACCTCTTTCCATTTACTCCATTAACATTCCAAGTCTGCAGTCTTCCATAAACCATGCTTGTTGCCCAATGGATCATAGATAGTTCACAGATTAATTATTTTGGCTTGTAATTCTCTAGGAATTATGAGCTGCAGAATCAGTTTAAGACTAGAGTAAAAAAGGCAGTATCTACAGAGAACATTTGTCTGTGTTCAATTTATAAATGAATGGATAAATAAAACATATAAATGTTGCTTGTGGTGTATTGAAATCAATACAATAATTACACCTAATAGTTTTTTTTTAGCAGATGAAGTTCATAGAAACGTCCAATGCATTAGATGGTGGAAGAAACTTCCTTATTTGTTCAGAACCATTTTTCGCTTGAAATGTATGAGGAAATAATTTTTATTGATGGGAAATGAGGAATAATATTTTTCTGTAGAAATTCATGCACAAAACCACTGATCCTGAGAACAAACTAGCTGGTATGTTGGATAGTATAGTATAAGATAGGATAGGATAGGATAGGATAGGATAGGACAGGACAGGACAGGACAGGACAGGACAGGACAGGACAGAATATGTGTGTATATGTGTGGATAGTATAAAACTAAGCTTTCCTTCATGGGATTCATTTTAATTAGGAAAGACAACCTATTTAACTTTAGAGGCTATTTGGGTTCTGATGTATAAGGCTAATTAAGAATAGAAAAATCAATTTTAGCATTTTTTTTCTTGCTAAGTCTTTATTTTAAATGATGGCGTATTAAATCGCCCACACTTGACTATATTCAAATGGCAAATTTGTACACTAAAATTTGTCAGTCATGGTTTATGTCTGTTCTCAATCTATGTTTTCTAGTTGTGACTGCATAAACCCACCCCTCGTTTATTAAAGCTTGATAAAATGCGCATACAGTGTAACCTCATATTAATGAACTTAAATGGCATGAATGAAAACCCTGTTATAATTACATCATTTGTCATAAATGGTATAATCTGTGTCATGCATAACAATGGTGCTGAAGATAACATACTCTTTGATTTAATAGTGAGAAACCACTCCTTTTAATTTACGTGTTAAACTGAGACTTTGCTATATATTTAATAAAAGCAAGGTTAAAAAGCAAGTGTCTTGCTTGACAATGCTTGACAGCCTCCTTAAGAAATATCTTTTAAGTTTTGAAGAAACACTTGGGCTCACATTTGATGTGGTATTTTCTTTTGTGTAGTTTCAGCATAAGAATTTAATCTCCCAACACAACCAGCTTGTAATGACACTGGAAGAACACAAGAGCGCACTAAAAGCTGCGCAGGTCAGCCACCAGATCGGCATTGCGTTAACAGTGGTGGTTTTCTTTTCTCTCCTCCCCCTCACCCCCAAATCGTCTAATATTTCTTGCTTCTTTTTTTCCCTGCTGATCATAACTTTTATGCATGTAAGCGTGGGTTCTCTGATTAATAACCAGCTGCCCTCTGGGGCAAGATCTGCATGCCTAGAAGGATTTCTGCTATACCAGAATTGTGAAGCTAAGAAATCAGTGCCAAACTTTTTTTTTATTATTGTTACAACAGCTATAGTAATATGCAGGTAGTCCTCGACTTACGACCACAATTGAGCCTACCATTTCTGTTGCTAAGGGAGGCAGTTTGTTAAGTGTCTTTTCCCCCATTTTACAACCTTTCTTGCCACAGTTGTTAAGTGAATCACTGCAGTTGTATAATCTGAGGCTGTAGTGACTGTAGAAATCATTTTGCAAGACTGAATACGTTCTCCCAACCTTCTCATTTTATTTTCATGTGAATCAGGGAGGGGGTTCAGATGTTTCCTCAAATTAGTTTCTTGGAATAGATTCAGCCCTCCCTGTATCCAACTGTTGCTTGGGTAGTGATTCTTCCTCTATCCATCAAGGTCATTCTATATTCATTCTACTTTGAGAGTTAGATTCTGCCTCATTTCTGCCAGAGCTGTAGCTATGTAATTTACACCTGAATATAATGAATATTTCTTAAAGGTAAAGGTTCTCTTCACACATATGTGCTAGTCCTTCCCGATTCTAGGGGACGGTGTTCATCTCTGTTTCAAAGCTGAAGAGCCAGCGCTATCCGAAGACATCTCCGTGGTCATGTGGCCGGCATGACTAAATGCCAAAGGCGCATGGAACACTGTTACCTTCCCACCAAAGATGGTTCCTATTTTTCTACTTGCATTTTTTACGGGCTTTCGAACTGTTAGGCTGGCAGAAGCTGGAACAAGTAATGGGAGCTCACCCCGTTATGCGGCACTAGGGATTCAAACCGCTGAACTGCCAACCTTTCGATCGACAAGCTCGGTGTCTTAGCCACTGAGCCACCGCATCCCTTATATATATATATATATATATATATATATATATATATATATATATATCTGTCTTACCTAAGAGTAATTATGTTGTTATCCTGAGGTAAGATGGGCAGCCAATAGGTTTTACAAATAAATAAATGTTGTTGAAGGGAAGTAAAAATAAAAGGAGCAGCATACCTAATCTACTGCCCCAAATTATAAAATATTAGCAAAACTAAAGCCAAGGGAGCCTTAATAAGTCCTTGGATCAGGCTGGGGAGCGAGAAGGTGTCATGGGAGCCAATGTCCTCTCCTGCTTCCAATCGTGGCCTTCTCTCTCCCATCTCCCATCATATCTTCCTTAACCCATAGTAACTCAGTGAAGTTATGTTGATAAACAGATTGTAGTTTGATTTGTGTGCGTATTTGATTTGATTTGAATTTCAAAAAAGGAAGAAAAAAAAAGATAAACAGCAACAGAAAAAAAATTCTTATCTGTTTTGCTTTGCCTGTCCATATCTTCTCTTTTTATGCATAACACCTTTTTTTTTCCCCTTGAGGGAGAACAGACATGGCTGGTCCGCATATCTTTTTACCCTGAAACTAGTCTCAGGGCTCAGAACTGTCCCTTGAACACAGCATATCTCCTTGGCTTTCCAGTTTTTTTTTTTTTTTTTAATTTGATTTATATGCCGCCCTTCTCCGGAGACTCAGGGTGGCTTACTGCCCCCACAAACTGGGTCCTCAATTTACCTACCTTAGAAAAGATGGAAGGCTGAGTCAACCTTGAGCCCCGCAAGATTCGAACTTACTTTAATTGCAGACAGCTGGTGTTAAATTACAGTGCTTTAGTCTGTAGAGCTATCCAGGCTCCTAGTTAATGCCAATTCCATTGTTTCTGCTTTATAAGCAAAGGCTGGTCATGGTATTTTTCCTACATTTGGATTAAATGTCTTCTATGTGGCATTAAGCTAAAAACTGCTGTCATTGACATCAGCAGAGCCTTTTCAAAAGCTCTTAGTTTAATTTCCTATCGGCTGCTGATTGGAGATGAGTGCTTTTCATATCAGGAAGTGGATGAGGACAGGGAAATGTGCTGGTGTGGTGAAGTATATGGAAAAGCATTTTGGCTCTCTGGTTTAGGAACTCTATTGCAGTTGCTTCTTCAATATTCAGTTTTGGTCGCCATGATATAAAAAGCTGAGACTCTAGAGTGCAGAGAAGAACAACAAAGATTATTAGGGAATTGGAGGCTAAAACATATGAAGAACGGTTGCTGGAATTGGGTATGTCTAGTTTGATGAAAAGAACTAGGTATGATATGATAGCAGTGCTTCAATATTTGAGGGACTACCACAAGGAAGAGGAGGTGAATCTGTTCTCCAAAACAACTGAAGGCAGGACAAGAAGCAATGGATGGAAACCAATCAAGGAGAGAACCAAGCTAGAACTAAAGAAAAATTTCCTGTCAGTTAGAACAATTAATCAATGGAACAAGTTGCCTCCAGAAGTTGTGGTTGTTCTAATACTGGACATTTTTAAGAACAGATTGGACAACCATTTGTCTAAAATGGTATAAGGTTTTATTTCTATGCAGTTGTTGTTGTTTTGTTTATAAAATCTCTTTAAACTTAGTCTCTATCTACTTGGCGATTAAGTTGGTGAAAATAATTTTATTTTTATCTATGTAGTTTTATAATTTCTTCCCATGCTCTCTGGCAGTGATAATTTCACTAGGTGTTTTATAGTGAAAGGTAGGCCCAATTTAAGGTTTGCTAGATGAATGATGATTGTGGACCCTCATGCTTAAAATATTGTATAGTAATAGTCATAGCACTTAGACTTATACTGCTTCACAGTGCTTTACAGCCCTCTCTGAGCAATTAGTTAGCATATTGCCCCACAACAATCTGGCTCCTTATTTTACCGACCTTGGAAGGATGGAGGACTGAGTAACCTTGAGCCAGTGAGGATTGAACTGGCAGTGAGCTGAATTAGCCTGCAATATTGCATTCTAACCACAGCACCACCATGGCTCTTAGCCACAGGTATAATAACATAGGCACATTGCAAAAAGCCAATAATCACTGCTACTCCATTCACTCAATCATGTCTTCCTTTCTGTAAGGCTATTAAAGTTAACTCCACATGCAGCCTTCATCATATGGATTTATAGGGAGTTTTGAACTAGATGGTGTCTATTGGTGTGGCTCCATCACCAGGCCTTGCTCTTGTGACCTAGTAATTGTGCTGGAGAATGAGCAGTAGTTTGTTTCAGGGAGCTATTCTGTCACCTCCCTCTGTGTGTATGTATTTTATCAAGAGTCACTCTTTTTAAACACTATAGACAGCAGCAGGCTGAATTTAACAGGGCAATATTTCCCAATCTCTTACTCTCCAGGTTTTCTCCAAGAGTCCCCAAGAGGTCCTGGGGTTGATCCATTCTTAAACAAACACTTTTGTTAAAAAAAAAGGAAGGCCTATCCTTATGGGCAACTGAACAAGGCAGTCCTCCCTCCCTTCCTCCCTCTCCCCCTTCCCCTTCCCCTTCCTTCCCTCCCTCCCCCTCCCTCCCTCCCTTCCCCCTCCCCTTCCTTCCCTCCCTCACTCAGTCACTCACCCCTTCCCCTTCCTTCCTTCCTTCCTTCCCTCCCTCCCTCCCTCCCTCTCCCCCTTCCCCTTCCTTCCTTCACTCACTCTCACTCCCCTTCCCTTCCTTCCTTCCCTCCCTCCCTCTCCCCCTTCTCCTTCCTTCACTCATTCACTCACTCCCCTTCCCTTCTTTCTTTCCTTCCTTCCTTCCTTCCTTCCTTCCTTCCTTCCTTCCTTCCTTCCTCCCTCCCTCCCTCCCTCCCTCCCTTTTTTCCACTTCATTCCATGATGCTTTCTATTTGTAGGTGGGTTTTTTTTTTCCTTCCCGAAGATTGAAGGAAGATGTAATAATTCACTACTGACAGTTTCTTCTTCTGCGTGGCATGAAAAACTAATCCCCTTTCTGGGCTATGGGGATTTTCTGCTAGACTTTGCATGTCTGCTGTAATGTATTAAACTGATGCACTCTGCCGCATAGAAAGATGTAGCTTTAGCACATGGACATTTTTGATCAAATGTGCATGTTTAGTTAAAATACCTGCATTAGCTCGGAGCCTCTTGCTTCCCTGCATTTATTACGGAGACCAGCTTCTCTCTCAGTGAAATCTAATGATTACATTTGATTTCTAGTCTCAGGTGGAAGAATACAGGCAGTTGAAGGACACCTTAAAAAAGATGCCCAGTTTCCAGAAACCTGAAAAATTTGAGTCGCCACATGGTTTGCCTGTGACACCTGTGCCTTCTCCTCTGAGTGATTCCAAAACACAGGGCACAGATGCCGCTAAAGAGCAAAAAGAGGTAATATGAACTGACTGTATTAAGGCAAAGCAATCTTATTTAATCATCATCATGGTTATTAGCATTGATACAGTGCTCTGAACATTACTGCAGCAGTAGTCCGTGTAACAATCCTATTAAAAAGGTCGCTGTTATCATTTCAAAGGGCAGGAGAAGAGAAGCTGAGCAGGACAAATGATTTAATCTGGATATCACATTAAAACAAAGTTTTTTTTTTTAAAAAAAAAAAAGCTAGAATGGTAATTTCCTAAGATAGTTTTCACTCAGCCAGGATATGAAAATTGTTTAGTCTTCCGACAACGAATTGTGATCATTATGGCAATAGCAGCGGCCAACTATGATAAAGGACACTTATTTTATTCTAGCAATTATTTAATAAACACCAGGGCGTTGGCCACAATAAGGATCTGATTTACAGCCAAGGCTAGCACTGGAATCTTTCTTGCTTACAGAGCTCCCTCTTGGGATAGGTGAAAAATGGCCTAAAAATGAAACTCTCCCACATCTGGGGGGGTGGGGGAGATCATACAAATTAAGGAAAGTATTTTCAGTTGCAGGATCTGATGTATTTCTTCATTTTCTGCTGCTGTGTCCTCCATCTTCAGATGTAGACAGGCCACAATCTGTTTCTGGATTAGAGGAAATTTGGGAGAGGAATAGAAGCTTCTGGAAAATCCTTGAATCAGATTCCAACTTCATCAATGTCCCTGACTCCTGTTCCTCTGTTCCAGGCATATGAATTAGTAGTGAACCAGATTTCCAAATGGCAGAACATAACTATAACATGTAGAACAAGCCTCAGCTGGTTTGGCGGAAGCCTGAAATTGCAGGAGAAAAATATATTTTGGGGTGGGGGTAGGGAAATCTTGAAAATGGACAATAGGATGAAAGATACCAGAAACTATCAATTGGCATCTGAATGTAATTATTGACAACAGACAATGACAATTTGAACTATCATGAGTAAAAGTTGTCTGGCTAGAATTTTGACATCAACTATTCTGAAGTGAGTTGCAAGACCCATTTACCAGTTTTACAATGGTCATTTTAAGTAATTTGATCTGATTTCATTTTTATTCAAATGACTTAAATTAAGCATGGTACATTTTTCACATCATAACCCATGTTACACCACTATGTTGTCTATTGGCATATAAGATAAGTTTGTGAATCAGTCTGACTAGGGTTAGCAACTCAATGCACCCCAATTGTAATAGTTTTCCTTTTTTTATATTTGTGAATAACTTGTAGTAAGGGTTTTAATTACAATAGTAAAATCTAATACCAAAGAAAGTAGACTAGAGAGAAAGAATGAAAGGTGCAAAGGAGAAGAAAAAAATAGAAAGAAAAGTAAATGTCTATGGAGATTCTCAATCATCCAGGTCATGGTTGTCCCAAAGGGGCTTTTTTTCAAGAGGCAACTGGATTTTCTGGTTTTTCTTTGAAGAAAAACGTTTTGCGTCTCTTTCCAAGCTCTGAATCTGAAGAAGCTTCTTGGATGAGAAGCGAAATGTCTTCAAAGAAAAAGCAAAAAAGCCCAGTTGCCTCTTGAAAAAAGCACCTTTGGGAGAAAGAAAAGTAAGAATATAGTAGAGAGAAAGAAAAAAAGAAATATGTAAAGTGACTTCCAACCTTCATCACAAGTATTGTATAAACGATTTTTGCACCCCTTCTTAGTTTACAACCAAAGTTCTCTTTATCCCATATCCCATCTCTTATAGACAAATCCATAAAGCATAATCTTTTCAGGCCTTGGATGGATAGGCAAAAAAAGTCCATTAAGGATATCAGTTCCAGACAAAGTGATGGTGGCAGTTATAGTAGAGAACACATAGAGGACATCCGTTTTTATTCTAACTGGGCTGCTAGGACAAATTCAACTTTATAAGTATAGCAATAAGAATTGAAGAATGTAAGTTCAATTTAAGGCAGTTACTCAACTGCCTTGAAACTCATTGAATTCGGTACTCAATGCATTTTCATATGAACATATTGTCCCGGTATTCATCCGACAAGCTAGAACTTGTCAGGGCTTCCTTATGACTCACTATATTATTCCTTATGGGAAAAAATTGTTTGGTACTCATTGTTTGTGGTAATCATTGTGCCTCCTAGAACCAATTAACAACAAGTACCGAGATACCACTGTACAGTGGAATTGTTGGATTGGATCGACATAGCGTGAAAGGACCGTGGTGAAATATGATTTCTAGATGTTCAGATTTTTAGTTATGGAAAAACATCAGTGTCATCTGGGTAGGGCTGCTTGCACTTCCAGCACTACGATGTAGGACTCATTTTGTTATGTGTGTCCAAAGTATAAAAGAATCCAGCAGAAAGCTGTCAGAAATGGCAAGTCTTCATTTAAAATGAAATAAATCATAAATATTCATTTAAAAAAGGTTTCTTTGGGGATTTTCATGTTTACCGAGTTTGATTTTTTTTTTTTGCAAATGTCACAATTAATGAAATGTTTGCAAGAAAAAAGAAAGCCAGCTCTGTGAATATCAATATTCCAACATTTTAACCCTAAACTACACATATTCTCCACTGTTGTTATTGCAAAAAAATGATCAGACTTAACTACCTAAACTTGTCAGAAAGTTTAGCAAGGATATTTACAGAGCAGGTCCACATGAAGTCATAGATGGCTCTGGCCATTAGTCTTTGGCCTGCTGAAGACCAAGAATTTTCACCAGTTCAAATAGAGGTTGACGATGGTTTCCAAGGACTTTGTACCTTAGTTGGACTAATCATAGGGTCTTCTGAGTAAGATCTACAGTACATGTTTGATGTCAGAGTAGTAAGTCAGCATGGGATGTGTTAAGTCATAGCCCAGAGTAACTTACAAAGTAATAGATATTTCAAGAACAAAGCAGCATGGTATACCAATACACAATACCAAAAAGTAGTCCACACTTACCAGCCACAGTTGGAACTAACAACTCCACTGCTAAGCAGCATAGTCATTAAATGAAACATCACACAATGGTACTGACTTACAACCTCAGTTTTGGATGCAGTGAATTACCTCAGTTCATTCGTAATTCACCTTACTTGAAGCAGTTGTTTGCCTTCTATCATAGCCAGGTCAGAATCTGGATACGTTATCTGAAATGTCTATTTTTCTTAGATCAGCTACTAGATAGTTATTCTCCAGCCTGCCTAGATGTGTTATGGATGGAGAAGTACAGAAAGCTCAAATGTATGTATAAAAGAGACAGCAGAGCAATACATGACTCACAGTTTGGATTTTCCTCTCACCACATAAGTAAAGATGGCGGCTTTAAGAAACATTGCAAAATCTGCCCTCCCAAAGGAAAAAAAAATGAGATAATATTACCATCAGCCAATGTAAACCTCTTCAGGACCTCTCCCCGAAGTGAAATAAGGTGGAGCTTGGTTGAAATACAGGTAGTCCTTGACTTATGACCACAACTGAGCCTGGAATTTTGATTGTAAATTGTCATGACCATTAATCAAGACATGTCTGTCTCACTCAATGACCACAATCCCAGTACTCCCCGTGCCTCACAGGTTGGGAGAGACCTTGGTAGTCTTGATATGTTGATATGCTGGCATGTGGAAATTTGCCAGCTGCATGCGGGTTTCCTGTATCCTCACCACCACTCCTGAGAAGCCTGGCCTTCTCTCCTCTCTCCCCACTGGCCTTCTCTCTGTCCCATCACATCCAGGTCCACTTAACCTTTCCCCTTTCCCTGCAGCAGCTGAAAGGTGCACCCAGCCAATGCAAAGCTCAGCTAGAAAGCTAACAAATGCAGTTTTCATCAAGGCTAGAGAAGCAGTCTTTCTCAAGGCTGGCCAGGAAAAGAAACTTCACTAGCTGACTTTCTACAGCACTGCAGCAGAATGCTTAACATTATTAAGTATTAATATTATTAATCGATATTAGGCAGAAATATTAACCCAAGGCAGAACGTAGGCAGAAAATTGGATGGATGGATGATGGAAAACAGGAGTATCCTACCTCACACAATAAGCGTAAATATGTCCATGGATTCCCATTTGACATCTTTAAAGTAATTGGCAGGTACACTCACAATTGGCTACTATATTGGATATGGTGAGTCACAATATACCAATTTATCAGAAAGCTTTCCACTAGAGTGGTGTAAATCTTTCACAGGGTACTTCATGTCAGCAATGCTTCAAAGTTATCCCTTGAAGATGTTTTCCTTGGGCTCACAGATACAATATCTAGAATCAATTTCTATGCATTCTAAGCACTTGAGCAGGATGCTCTTCCAGTCAGTGACTTTTGTACAAGTTGCAACTGAACAAGTCACTTCCAGATATTGGCCGGAAGCCATTTTGAGGCTTCAGAGAGATACAGAGCACCGTGTTGAGGAGAACCACATGGTTTCTTTGTCCTGATAAGGAAAAATTTCATCATTTCTGCAATGTAAAGCAGGTTAATGAGGAAAGTGAAGCTGCTTGGTTTACCTTTTCTTCTGGTATCCTTTTGGGATCTTTGTAGAGCTCAAAGCCATTCTGTAAATAAATATAATGTCATATTTTGTTCCTTTGCTTTTATTTTTCTTTTGTTTTGTTGTTATTTTTCTGTATTGTACTTAGTGAACCTCGCAGAGTTGTTGGGAGTTGGGTGCTATACACATTTAATCAATATATGCATAAATAAATGGCTGGTGCTTTACTTTGCCTGCCTGCTTTCCATCCATCCATCCATCCATCCATCCATCCATCAATCCATCCATCCATCCATAAGGCAGCTAGGAAGGGATCTGTCCAGGAATACCTTAGCAGTGGTAGGCACCTTACTGCCTACCTACCCACTAGAGCAGGGGAGTCAAACTTGCGACATCACAGGGTTGTCACGTGACTTATCGTGACTTTTTCCCCCTTTGCTAAACGGGACATGGGCCTGGCCATCATGTGACGCATCCGGCTCATGGGCCAGAAATTTGACACCCCTGCACTAGAGTGTAAACATATTTGTTATCTGTTTCAAGCAATTACTAATCCTGAATTCCTAAAAGTAATTTATCTTTCAGCACCAGCAATGGTAGAAGTTGTATCAGCCACCCTTCCCTTGGTGTCTGTGCTTTCTTCTGCTCTTGAGACATGAGTTTCTTCAGATACAGAGAATTTTTCCTCAACATTTTTTTTTTTTTTAGGCGGGGGAAAGGGAGAATTCCTTTTTTTCCCTAGATTTTATTTCTTAATTTTATTTTGCACCTGAGAAAGAGAATGATGCACCTTCCAGTTGACACAGGAACAGCTAAGATGGTCAAAAGAGGCGGTCTCTCTTTGATTATTTTTCCTTTCGCTTTCTCTCCTACTTTCAAGATCGCCATATGTCATGATGCAAAGCATCTTGCACATGGATGAGGCTGGGATTTTCTAGTTGGGCTGTTTCCAGGGGTGGGCTGCTGGAGGTCTGCAGGGGTTTGGGAGGACCTCTAGCTAAGATACTGTGCAGATTGGAGAACCCCCAAGTCCCACTCCTGGCTGGTCCCGCCCACCCCGCTGCTCCCAGGAGTCCCCATGTGGCGCATTTTGAATGCAGGTAAGTGCAGGGTGCACGCAGAGGCTCGGGGAGGGTGAAATGTGGGCCTACTGGAAGTTCTGGAAGGTGGGAAATGGGCCCATTTCTGGCCTCCAGAGGGCGTCTGGAGCCTGTGGAGGCCGTTTTCACCCTCCCATAGGCTTGACAAAAGCCTCCAGAGCCTGGGGAGGGCAAAAATGCCCCCCCCCCCGGCAGTCATGCGAGAGGTCGACTAGGCCTCGCCCACCATGGCCACGCCCACCCAGCAGCCAGCCAGAGAACCCCTTGCTAAAATTTTTGAAGCCCACCCCTGGCTGTTTCACACCTTTGTTGCTGGTTTAAGACAGGTTTTCAGTGTTTTCTACCATAAAATGATTTTTTTAAAAAAAATTGATTTATATGCTGCCCTTCTCCAGAGACTCAGGGTGGCTTACAAGGCGTTAAGCAATAGCCTTCATACTTTTGTATATTTACAAAGTCAGCTTATTGCCCCCACAAACTGGGTCCTCAATTTACCTACCTTAGAAAGGATGGAAGGCTGAGTCAACCGTGAGCCTGATTTAAAAAGTGCCATTGATTTTCAGCAACTATCAATCTTTTTGTCATATTTAACTATAACGAGGGAACAGGTTGTTACCTAGCATTTGCTCGCCTACCCATGGTTTATTTTCCCCCCTCCCTGTTCCATTTGTATCTGTTCTGGGGAGATGTTTTAATTGGGGGACTGGTTGCTTGCATCAAGAAAATGCAGCTCTTGGCACAAGAACAAGCAAGCTAGTGGTCTGTAATATAAAAGTATGAATCATAGCATTGATTTAGCTTAGGCTGCGCAGGCTGGAAGTAATCCGAAAAGGGACCTTTGTGTCCTTCTTACTCCCACAGCATATGGACAACCATGCATAATCAGATATGGTCCCTCTGTGAATGCTTGTGTTTAATAAAACATTGATAGAGATCTTTGCTCTTTCCAAATGTCACATTATTATAGTTTAAGCAAGGTAAAGCAGTCTAAATTCCAGATATCGTCTTGTTTGGGTACAAAAAGCTTCAGTTTTATTTCCTAATGAAAATCTGTAAATCTGTCTTTTTTTCCCCTTTAAGATTGGGATGAAAAAAAATTAATGAAATCAAGAAAGAATAAACAGCAGGAATGGGTGTTTCAGATCGGGAAAATGTAGCTCTTGGAAGTAGTTGTGGGTTGTGGGATTGAGAAAAATAGGTTCCAAGAATATTACTGATGTGGGACATTATCTGTGAAGCAAAAATACAGATTTACATAGGCAAATTGAGGGTTTTTTTAGGGCTAATTTCACACAAGAATGTCTACCTGTGGATGTCCTAGTTCTTAATATCTTAGCAGTCTGATACCCAACTATGGAAAGCAATCCAGTGCTGAAATTGCCACCAGATTATGCTTAATGTGGCCTTAATTCTCGAGTCATAATCACTGACGAGAAACATCTGTTTCTATCTCTGACAAAATATATACATGTGAATTTATCCTTAAATATCTATTCAGGTTGTGATGGATTAGAATTAAAGTCTGGCTTTATGATAGCAATTTCTAGCCAAGTAGTCTTAGAGAGTAATACCGGTTAAAGCTAAAATTGGGTTCTGTAAAGATTCCACTTAATTTGTGTATAATATGTCCAATAATTATTTCAGTGCTCACTTTGTCTCAAACATAAAGCTATTTTCATAAATAAAACATGACAACATAATTCCCTGGACCTTACAGGTTGTCCCCTGTATATTGTATTTACCTTCCTTTTTCCATTCTTGATCCTTAGGCTATTCATCTTGAGAATGTGAGTTGACTGAGGGATAGCTTTTGAATTATGTAAAATGTGTACCGAGGCACACGAGTACTTTCTTTAAAAATGCCTAAATTCCTTACAGCAAGACTATATAGACAAAAATTGCAGTAAAATGTTTAAAAAAGATCCTTCGCCCTAGTTACATTTTTTAAAAAGAATTAAGTAAAAATAGTGTAAAATACATCATCAGTTTAGCCAAAAATCTGGATTTCTTCTAAACAAGATAAACAAGTGTTTGCTTTTTTTTTAGGACAGCAATTATGTCAGCATTTTGTGGTGAGTACCTCTTCCTTAAAAGGAGAAAGAGCCACAAAAGGATAGAATAGAAATGTGGGTAAGCTTAAGAGAAATAAAAGTGGAATTAAAATTGAAATAATTCACATGCAGTTCTTATAATTAATTCTTATATGGTTATTATAATATTAAAAAGGTAAAGCTTCCCCTCGCACATATGTGCTAGTTGTTCCTGACTCTAGGGGGCGGTGCTCATCTCTGTTTCAAAGCTAAAGAGCCAGCACCATCCGAAGACGTCTCTGTGGTCATGTGGCCGGCATGACTAAACGCCAAAGGCTCACGGTACGCTGTTACCTTCCCACCAAAGGTGGTCCCTATTTTTTCTACTTGCATTTTTTTACATGCTTTCAAGCTGCTAGGTTGGCAGAAGTTGGGACAAGTCACCCCATTAATGCGACACTAGGGATTCGAACCGCTGAACTACCAACCTTTCAATCGACAAGCTCAGCATTTTCGCCACAGCCAGCGCGTCCCTATAATATTATTATAATATTATTATAATAATATTAATTATAACTAATTTGTTTCTTATTCATTTCTTTCATATTAAACATAATTCAGTAGCAACTGTTTGGAGGATCTCTGGAGCCATGTTCAAAGATCCATTTCAAGACCCTAGACCAGGGGTCTCCAAACTTGTCAACTTTAAGATTTGTGGACTTCAACTCCCAGAATTCTGGAAGTTGAAGTCCACAAGTCTTAAAGTTGACAAGTTTGGAGACCCCTGGTCTAGACTGTGAGTTTCTAAGTTTAGCAAATCTCAGAACAAAGATGAATGTTTCATGGGTTTTGTAAAACAAAAATAAAAAATAGAACATTTGTTTTAGGTCCTTCAACTGAAAAACAATTAGCAAAAAATAATAATAATAATAATAATTTTATTTCTATACCGCCCTTCTCCCGAAGGACTCAGGGCGGTGTACAGCCTATTTAAAAACACAGACAAAACAATGATATAAAATTTAAAATAATTAAATAAGTGGCTCAAATTTAAAACCCCAATAAATTTAAATACCCCAATTTAAAACTATTGTGTTGATAGTCCGGCCTGGCGGAACAACAGGGTCTTCAATGTGCAGTGAAACACCCGGAGGTCGGAGATCTTACGAATTTCCGGGGGCAGTTCATTCCACAGGGCTGGGGCTCCCACAGAGAAGGCCCTCCCCCTGGGCGTCGCCAGCCGACATAACTTGGCTGATGGCACCCTGAGGAGACCCTCTCTGTGGGAACGAACTGGTCGGTGGGAGGCTATTGGTGGCAGAAGACGGTCTCGGAGATACCCGGGTCCTTCACCAAGCTCTGTCCTTCACCATTCTCACCTTGAATGGGCCTGTTATCAGTGATCTATTGCAAAAGTTATACAGTCTCATAAGGGAAGGAAGCAGTTCATAGGTGACCTAATTCTAAGCTATCCTAGCGTTTTAGCAGCAAAACGTAACACTTTGAATTTTGTATTTTTCGCCAGGCAAAACTTCCAAAACTCCTTTCAAAGGCTGTTCTATTTTCCCCCTCTCTGCATCACTGTAGAAAAAAAAAATATGATGTATATTCTAACTTTTCCAATGTATCTATCGTGATTTATGTGCTGGTTAGATTAATATTCCTCCAGGAAATCTAGGTACCATACAAGAACTTCTTCCTCCATTTTTTCCCCTATAATAGCAAACCAGGAAAAGAAAGAACAGCAATCTTGCAAAGTAGATTGGACAGAACAATCATATTTGACCTGAAGTCATCTAAATGAGCTTCCATGGTTGAGTGGTCTCCCAATCCTAGCCCAGTTTTATATATTTTAACTGCCACATCAGACTATTGAAAGCTTGATAGGAAGTAAATCCCTTGAAATCCAGTGTATAGTCCAGAAGCATATTATTTGAAACTAACCTCTCAGATTTAATGATTTATATTATTATAGATTATGCAAAATGGTGAGCAGTCACAAAGGGGAGAAGAAGCTGTTAACGTAAACCCTAGGGAAGGAAGAGAACAGACAGCAGAACTTTTTCATCCTGACAGAAAAGTGGTAGAAGGTCATGGGCCACGGGAATTAAATATTCAGGAAAAGCAAGAAGCAGGAGAAGATGAGGAACAACATGCAGAGCAAGATGAAGAAGAGCAGAAAAAAGAATTGGAAGAAGAAGAAATGGAGCAAGCTGGGCAACCAGAACACTTAACAGATGATCTCGATCAAGTCCCAGAAGAGCATGAATGGAAGGACAAAGAACAGACTGATGAGGAAACCAACATGGTTGGAGAACACAACCATTCACAGGTGGGTCCCCTTTTTCCCCTAAGAATATTTGCATGTTTAAAAAAGCAGTCTTCCTCAAGTCAAGTTTGACTCTTGGTGGACATCTTCATACTGTTCATGGACATGATTCATTCATTATTCATTATTGTTTCTGTGGCAATAATGGAAAGTGGCTTGCCATCTTTTTTTTAACTTTCCAGTCTAGACCACAACCTTACGACTTCTTGTGTTTCCCATCTGAGTACTAACCAGGTCTGCTAACTTAGCAATTTTAGCAATTTTGAGATTGGCCAAGGCTCTGAATGAGGTTAGGTCTTTCTGAGAACCATTTGCAGGTTTATTTGGAAGTCAGTCCCAAATAAATAAAGTTAATTAGAATAAATTGGCTACCTTTGATATATTAAGACACACTTGTTGAGAATTTTAGGTTATCATTGCTTGGCAGCAACTGTTGTGACCCACCAGCAGCCAGCAGAGCTGGGAGCAGATTCAGACAGTGAGGAGGTTGGGGAGGAACATGGGCCAGTCCTGGAGTCAGGGGAAGGCTTGGATGAGGGCTCTGAGTTGGAGGCAAAGAGGGGGCCAATGCCATCTGGTAGTTCTTTGCTGAGTCCGGAGTCTCTGGAGTCTCACCTCAGTGAGGCGGAAGAACCTGTTCCCAGTGTGCACATGTGCAGAGCAGCCAGGACACAGGAACAATTAAGGAAACAGGGTCGACTTGGGAGTAAGGCTTACAGATGATTGGCCCTCCCATAAGACATAAAAAAAGAAGCGAATAGGACGTGAGCTTTTGCAGGAAGCAATTAGTTCATCTGGTCGGTAAAAGCTGTGAAAAAGTTCTGTTTGACTAAATTTGGCCTTGCCCTGCATATGGCAATTAGTTCTCTGGCAGCATTCCAAGGGAGATAAGGTGGGTGTTTGTAAACACTCCCCTGCAAGACTGTTAGATAAGCCTTTCGGACTGGGAATGACAATAATTCACAGCCATATGAATTACAGAGGTTTGCTAGACCTAAGTTTGTGCTGTATACTTTCTAAGGAAGCCTAGATCAGAACAGCAACCTCTGGGTGCCTCCTGTCATTGGCAAGGGTTGAATTAATTTGTAATTAATGGGGAAGAAAAGAGTGTTGGATTGTAGACTAACTTTGGCTTCATTGCATTTCTAACAATGTACCATTTCTCCCCGAAAATAAGACCTTGTCTTATATTTTTTTGAACCCTGAAATAAGCGCTTGGCCTTATTGCCATGCGCTCAAAAGCCCAATTGGGCTTGTTATCAGGGGATGTCTTATTTTGGGGAAAACAGGGTAATGGTATGAGGGAATGACCTTGGGAGGCAGGAGAAGAACTGCAATCAGGGAACATTCAGATAAGAGGCAGCTTAGCCTGCAGCAGGAATGTGAGTGTGGCAAATATCTCAGAAAGGACTCTTCCACGTTTCTTGGGTTGAAAAGGCGATGTGGAAGAAATGTATTTTCAGACTGGCAAGATTAATGCTTGCCCTAATCCAGAAAAAAAGCAGGCCCAGCTCAATTAATTCTACTTCATTGTAAAGATACATTAACAGAATCTTGTTAGTCTGAAAGGCAGTTTTTTCTACTTGCAGATTTATCTTTATGAATCCAGAATGCTCTTTCTTCCACCTTGGTGTAACTTAATATTGTGGCAAATTCTTTCACTTTAAATATGATATGCATCCAGCAGCCAGAATCCCAGAGGTACAGTTTATGCAGGTCACATTTTGTACAGAACTATAAATAGAAGTGTCAAGAAATGCTTCTACTTTCTAGGTCATATCTTGGGGCACCAAAATATATGTTTTCATTTGTTTCAACTAATTTTCAAATTGAAGCTTAGACAGTGTGCCAAGCCCTCCTGATGTTTCAGGCTTCCAAAACTATTATCCCAATGCCAACATTTGATGTTATCTTTGTATTCATTCTAAGGAAGAATAAAATTATAGAAATTTAGACATTTAACCTATCTCAGAAACATTTAAAATGGTCATTTCTCCCTAGTCATCCTTAAGCACTACTGCCAAAGGATGTATTTAAACTTTCCATTCAAATTCTGTCCTACACCACTTCAAACTGTTGTCTCATTTAGCTTAATATTGTCTTTCCTAGCTCTCAAGAATGAGAGCCTTTTTTTAATAACATGAAGTACCTTGTCTTGAGAAAAATTAGTGGTGACTGGATTTGATAAATGTAAACCTGGCCCTGGGAATGAGAAAAGGGTGAATTTTAAGTAATTAGTAGTGGAGCTCATAGCCAAATGTGAGTTAGACAATGTAGATCAGAGGTCTTCAAACTTGGCAGCTTTAAGACCTGTGGACTTCAGCTCCCAGAATTCTCCAGCCAGTAATACATTTTTCTTACCAAAAACTGGAAAAGAAGGCTTTGGAAATGAGGCTACGAATTGGCAACTCTTGTCTAAAGTCTCATGCAGATGTTTTTCTGTGTCTTCTGGGATACCAAAGTAGAACTTGGGATCTTCTGTGTGCAAAATAACATGTTACATTACTTGAGCGATCTTGTATGTGTGTTCCGCCAGGAGCCACCGTCACCCACGAAGATTGTAACCAGGTACAAATCGCCTTATGAGCAGCAGCTGGAGCAACAGAAGCTGGCTGCCCAGAGAGAAGAAGAAGCCAGCCGCCTAAGAGACCATCAGGAGGCTCTGCATCACGAGAGGCTTCAGGAGCAGTTGCACCGGCATCAGCAACTTCAAGAGAGAGAGCTGATGCTGCGGAGACAGGCCGAACAGGACGAAGAACAATTTAAGCAACAACTCAGGTTGTCTTTGCAACAAAGGGCCCCACCTTCCCTCAGCTGAGAAAGGAAGAATGTATAATTTGTCAGAAAATTCTAGAACTCTTAGGATGCTGGCCCTTTTTTTGAATATTTTCTATTTCAGGGTAGTAAATAATAGTTACATAAACAAGGCCTGAGAGGAAAACAGACAATTCTCTAACGAATTGCCTATCTGAGAAGTAACTGTTTATAAGATGGCATTTGTAATGGCTGCCCTCAAAAAGTGACTTTTAAAGTTTTCAGTATTGAGACTGTGTGTCTCAAATGGTCAGTAAAATAATGCCTGTGTATCCTTTAGGAATCCTTTAAGTCAGGGGTGTCAAACAGAATTTCTTCAAGGGATGATCAGCATTGTAGTTCTCCTCTGTGGATCATCCGGGGGTGGGGGAGGGAGGAAAGGAGACGGGATGGATGCCTCCTGCAGCATCCTGCCAGCCAGAGGCACCATGGGCTGGTCCTTTGCTATTTCCCCTGTGCCCCGTTTTGGCCGGCAGGGTGCTGCAGGAGGCTGTCCAGGCCAAAAACTCGACACAGGTAATGGTGGTCGTGGGCACAGCCCCCCCTCCCATGTCCCATTTTGGCTGCCAGAGGCATTACAGGGTGGTCCTTGTCTATTTCCAGGCCGGTCCTGTGGACCAGATTTAAGCACCCTGTGGGTGACATCCCACAGCCTTGAGTTTGACACTCCTGCTTTAAGTGATTCATATTCCGTTGGTCAAGCTTTATCATTGTTTGTGTAAACTGTGTGCAGATAAGGACAGGCAGACAAGAGACAGAATTCATATATCTTATTATATACAGTACACTGAGATATATTACTGTCTGTTTTTTGTGCTGATTTTTTTTCCCTGAGGAAAGCAACCTTATTGTTTAAACCAGAGGTAGCACCTTTTTGATACCATAGTCATGTTTGGAATTTTGAGAACATACCCTGGGTTGTTCAGACAAGATTGTTGCTACTTGGAAGGTTTTCTTAGATACAGAATGGTCGGGGATGAGAAAACATTTGTTCACTAGAAATCAAAAAATTGTTTATCCCTCAGCCTCTGCTCACCACTACCCCCAATACTTTCTATTGCCCCAACGTACTTTTCTATTATTTAAGGTAAATGTAGAAAATGCTTCTATGTAAAGCACTAGGCTGCAGTCACCCACCATTGGGCCTACACAATGTTGAAAACAATTATAGCCCTTAGAGGCTGAAGCTTCCCATCTATTTGCATACATTTGTTTCTTCAATTTTGGTTAAGTTTTAAGGGGGAAAGTTATTTTAGGTAAAGTCAAATGACAGACACCAAGGCAGCATGCAAGTTCTTAGGCATAAAGAGATACTAAGAAAGATTCTGCTGTTTTTCTGCTGTCGTCCATGAATTGTGGCTCCTCCCCAATCCATCTTAGATTTGTTTGGAACAATTTATTACTTGGCAAATTGTATAGGAAGATTGGAAGTATTGGGAAAATTGATCATCACAACTGTCCTTTGAAACTCCAGCAATGGGTGAGCTGGATGGACTGGTGTTCTAATTCAGAGTAAAACATATTCCTATATTTCTCTATCAATAGGATGGGTTTTAGTTCAGAGGGAGATATCATGTTCTTCTAATAGAATAGGAATTGGTGAGATGGAACATCTCAAGTTCAATTGCTGGCCTCTCCAAGTAGGGTTGGGAAGAAATTTTGTCTCAGACCTTGGAGAACTATAGACAATTATACTGACCTAAATAAACCAAGAATTTGACTATATTGTACTCATTCGTCCACCTTCTGGGTAATGTTAAGCTAGCCTGGAGCAAAAAAGAAACATAGCATTTATCAGCCCACATGTTGTATATCAATAAGGGTTCCTTCCATATGAATCTGAATTAATAGACCTTCCAATCATTTCAGCCAGCAATCCCATTATGACAATGTAGATCAGGATATCGTGCAAGGAGGAGAAGGAGATGTACACGAAGAAGATGAAAGTAAGTAATAATTCTCTTAAGTTTGTCTTATTTCTCTGATATTTTTTTCATACCATTTATATTCCACTTAACACAGGTAATAATAGTATATAATAGAGCTTAACTGTTAAAAGAAACGTATTTTAAGCAGATAAAATCACCATTGAACTGAATTCCATCTGAAAAGGCTTGGAAACAGAAACCTCCTTGAAAGAGCAATTATGAAATATAATTTTAAAATATAAACATTAACACAACCATTTTTATTGGTTGATCATATCCAATATAGTCAAAAGACACTTGGCTTATGAATAGAATGGGTCATCATTTTGTGGTGTTACGATTTTCACGCTGAATCCAGAGCTGCGATGCTTTTTTATGGTGCTTCCAACAGTGGAATTAAGCTTGTGATGATGCTTCCTGCCTGTGAGAAGAAGGAATGAGATGGATTTTTTTTTCCAATTAGATTATGAGAGACATAACCAGCATCCAAGAAGAGTAGAAGATGATGATCAGAATAATGTAAATGATCAACAGGACCCAGAGCTGGAGCACCAGTCAGAGAATGAGCAAAATGAAGAGCCAGTAAGTGGCGGTAACTTCTCAGCAACTTTTTAAGAGAAACAGATTGTTTTCTAGCTAATGTGTTCATTCATTCAATCTATTCTCTCCCTCTCTCTCCCTCTCTCTCCCCCCCTCTCAATATATTTAACACCATTCAGTACCCAAAAACAGTTTGATAAACTGAAATAACAAAACTACCATATTTTTCGCTCCATAAGGTGCACCTAAGTTTAGAGGACGAAAACAAGCAAAAAATTTGGAGCAGCGGTGTAGTGAGGGCAGGAGGCAGAACCTGAGAGGACCACAGATAGATGTCCTCTCATGTGCCAGCTCTGCCTATTGACTCCTGCACTGCGGAAAAGAGACAGAAGAGGTGGGCAATGACAAGGACAAAAGGGGGGGGGGGTGTTCAGCACTGTAAAAGGACCCCGCCACCGTGGCCTAGCTGCTATTTGCCAAAGGACCACAAAGGACTTTTTGGGGACGAAAAAGTGTGCCTTATGGAGCAAAAAATACAGTAAGTTGAATAGCAATAGCACTTAGACTTATATACCATCGTATAGTGTGTTACAACACTCTCTGGGAGGTATACAGTGTCAGCATATTGCCCCCAACAACCACTGTCCTCATTTTACTGACCTGAGAAGGATGGAAGGCTGAGTCAACCTTGAGTCCTGTCAGGATTGAACTCTAGGCTGTGGTCAGAGTTTGCTTGTAGTTCTGCGTTCTGACCACTGCGTCTGAATCAGGGATGGTTTCTACTTACCTTTACTACCGGTTCGCAACAGGATCGCTTCTGCGCATGCGCAGATCGCCAATGACAACATCCAGGGCATTGGGCGGAGCCTCCCGCCGGTTTTACTACCAGTTCTTGCGAACCAGTCCGAACCGGGGGCAACCCACCACTGGTCTGAATGTAGTTGGAATAGAGTATTTAAGAAGTGTGTGTGCTAAAGCAACAAGGAATAAGTCAAGAATGAATGAGTGATGAATGAGCATCAACTGAGTACAAAAGTGAATGACCAGTACAAAAATGTGGAGGTGCCTTGATCATATAGAGAAGATGTATGAGGATCAGTTGCAAAACAAATATATTCTTTTTGTCGCTACTGGTAGTCCTTGACGTATGACCATAATTCAAACCATAAGTTGTTGCGATTGTTAAGCGTATGACCATGTGACTGAACCCAATTTTATGTCATTTTTGCAGCAGTCATTAAGCAAACACTATGGTTGATAAGTGAATCAATTTTACCCAATTTGCATTTTTACTGTAAACTGGGAGAAAATGCTGGAAACTGGGGGGGGGGAGGGGGGAAACACCATTGAAAATCACTGTCACATAACTGTGACAATCTATATGACAATCTATATGACAATCTCATATAGATGAGATTGATTGCCAAGCACCTAAAATGTGAAAATGAGGGTGCAGCCCTTGTAACTTCAAAGTTGGGTCATAAGTAACTATTGGGGAGTTCTCTATAACTTCAAACAGTCACTAATCAAAATCTACCTGTACTTCTTACCCTCCTGCGCTTTATATATTGCTATTTATCCTGAGAGAGAATATGTATTAGTGTTTTTATGTTTGCAGACACAATAGCTCTGTAGTGGTTTGTATAACAGAAATATGTTATGGAAAAAGAAAACAACCAAGCTCAGAGAGCACCAAGGACCCCTTATTTCAACCCTGAGCTACAAATATTCTCCTTTATCGGTAGACATATGTTAATTCTTTACCAGAAAGAGGTAAACATAAAGCTGGTCAGGCCTGAAGTCATCATTTTAAGAACTTTGGGGAAAACAAAAATTAGAGCAATGATTGCCAGTTACCCATACACTATCCCATGGCTGAGCTTGACGATCTTGTTATGAAAACAAAAAAGAACAGTGTGTCTAGAGGTGAAGAATCTTCAGATGGATTATGAAAAGAAAACAGTATCTTTAGGCTCTTTTCTCCAGAGACTGTTTTTGGGAGAAAGTAAAGAAGAGCTGTGTACGAGAGTAGAATAACAGTGCTTAGTGTTTAAATGATACCGAGTGAATACCAACGGAGTGCCTTTCGATTTCAGCAAAGATGTATATCCCATTTTTCTAAATAAATGCCAATTCCAGGGAAAAGACTATGAAAAGAGTATAATAAAGTTTTCAGAATGCCATCCAGGAACATATATGGCTATAAAACCAGTAGCAGGGGCATCGAGAGCAAGAGATAGTTAATTTCCTTAGGAACCCAATTATATCCTTCATAAGAGATTGGAGAGGTGTTTGTCTGAAATGGCATAGGGCAGTGATGGCTAACCTTTTTGCCATCGCATGCCAAAAGCGGGGGGAGTGCACGTGCCCACACACATAATGCAATGCCCCCCTCCACGCCCTGCCTCATGCACATGTGTGCGTGACCCCCCCAGGCTCCCCCCACCCCTGCTCATGTGCACGTGACTCCCCACGTGCTCCATTCTCCCCTGCACTCCCCCTGCCCCCCCACGTATGCCCCCACGGCCCATTTTGGATCTCCCTGAAGCCTCCTGGGATCAAAACCAGGCCATGGGGAGGGGCAACGCCGCACTCCCCCATGGCTTGTTTTGGGCCTGGCAGGCCTCCCTGAAGCCTCCTGGGACCAAAAATAGGTTGCAGGGAGGCACCGCTTCCCCCGCACCCCGCCTGCCCCCTGTGCATGCACACGCAACCCCCCACACCAGAGACCCAATTATCAGCTGGCTGAACGGAGACCCACACACATGTGGAGCTGAGCTGGGCGACGGCTCGTGTGCCCGCAGAAGAGGGCTCTGCGTGGCACCTGTGCCAAAGGTTCACCATCATGGTCATAGGGTTTCCTGCTTGAGCAAGGGGTTGGACTAGAAGACCTCCAAGCTCCTTTCCAATTCTGTTATTCTGTCAAGCACAAGATTTCATCCTAGCTTGCATGTCTACAGTTCAGTAGCTATAATAACTTCCACGATCAAGCTTACACTATATTATGTTACAGGATGAAATTCTATATTGAGATGAGATGAATCCTGATGACTCTAATGCATTATAGACTTACCCATCTTCTGTTGTTATAGTTATAGTGCTCATGAAGACCAATTTGCAAGATGACAAGACAGAATCAAACTGGCAGAATGAGTTGCTCTAATGGCAAAATAAATTACGCACTGAGTGGACTTGACCTTCAAGTCTATGGATGACATTTACACATCAAGCAAAGCCACAATTTTGTTTACATGACATAATTACCGAGTTCGAACAGCAAACTAACCCTATATCAAACAGACCATTTTCTGATTTTCCATGATCAACCTACATTTGGTCATAAAGCTCATTGAGTGATTTTGGGACACTCTTTCAAACATCATGTCTATAAACTAGAAATCATAGTTTAGAATCATAATGGCTAGGTTCTTACATTCTGCAAAATCAAAACCAAACATTAAACATATGGTAGTACAGTGGTCTAAGGCACCCTGTTATTAAACTGGTTATTAACACCAGCTGCCTGCAATTACTGCAGGTTCGAATCTCGCCAAGGCTCAAGGTTGACTCAGCCTTCCATCCTTTCTAAGGTAGGTAAATTGAGGACCCAGTTGTGGGGGCAATAAGCTGACTTTGTATAAATATACAAAAGGATGAAGGCTATTGCTGAGCACATTGTAAGCCGCCCTGAGTCTCCGGAGAAGGGCGGCATATAAATCAAATTTAAAAAAAATGGTTTAATCCAATGTGTGAGCCCCATCATTTTTTTTAGTGTTACTTGCTTTCCAAGGATGTTGTGGCATTTTTAAAAAACAAGTTAGCTACTGTATATGCATACCACAACATACCAACTGGGTGAGAGATTTGTGGCTACCATACTTCAGAATCCATCCATCACTCTAAACCTTGCTTGTGGCCATGCACAAGATTCCTGAATAGAATGTGGAGTATATTACTCACCATCCCCAAACAGCAATTTTTTCAAAAATATTTGGAGGGCACCCTTTTTTTTAATGTTTACAGCGCTCTTATTATCCAAAGAATAAGATGAATAACGCACCTTATTTCTAAAAAGGAATTTGTACCTGAATTTACTTTCTGTTCTGCTTGATTTACTTGTTTTTTAAAAAAGAATTTATCAACATATTTCACACTGCCTTCATCTGTGCATTTATGCTGCTGACATGTTGTATTTTTCTTCTAATGGAAGAAAAAACAAAATAGAAATTTCTACATTAAACATATTATACAGGTTTTATGCTGAAAGGATATAAATGTAGAATGTATTTCTGTATTGCTATGTTATTCGGTGTTAGGAAATGGTGTTAGACTTCTGAAAGAAGAGGGAGGAACCTGCTCCACTTTATATTGAGTGGGGCTTTCTCCTTTAAATTCCTGGAAATCTATCTCAGTGAAGACCTCACCTGGAAGATCAACACAACCCAGGTGGCCAGAAAGGCCCAACAGAGACTCCACTTCCTTAGAGTCTTGCGAAAAAACAAAGTGGAACAACAACTGATGACCTCCTTTTACTGATCCACAATAGAAAGCATCCTCACTCAGTGCATTACGGTGTGGTATGCTGGCTTGACAGCAGCGGATAGAAAAACATTACAGAGAAAAACATTAAGAGCACAGCACAAAACATCGTGGGCTGTCCCCTGATACCACTAGATGACATCGCTGCCTTGGATGAGTGAGGAAAATCCTCAGGGACGACTCATACCCTGGCCAGCGCTTCTTTATTCTCCTTCCATTGGGAAGGAGATATAGAAGCATAGGCAGCCGCACAAACAGGGTGAAGAACAGTTTTTATCCATGGGGTATCAGACTGAATGAAAAATAACTACAACAACATAGTACGATTGACATGCAGAGCCAGTGCGATGTGCAATAAGTTCACATGGTGCAATAGGATTGGGTGATTGTTAAAAGGATTCACTGGGATAGGAATTTTTTTTTTGTCATTCACTGTGAGTTGTATTGTGTTGGGGGGGCAGTTGCATGAAGTGAAGCTCAGCCAATCTCATAGTACACATTGTTTTGGTCCACCAGCAGCCTGCAGAGCTGGCAGCAGAGTCGGATAATGAGGAGGCTGGGGAGGACAATGGGCCAGTCCTGGAGTCAGGGGAAGGCCTGGACTAGGGCTCTGCATTGGAGGCAGAGATGGGGCCAGGGCCATCTGGGAGCGATGCGCGGACTCCGGAGCCTCCAGAGGCGGACAGCATAGAGGCAGAGGAACAGGAGTGCACGCATGCGAAGAGCTGCCAGAAGGCAAGAGCAAAAAGGACAACTCGGGAGTAAGGCCAGGAGATGATTGGCCCCTTTCCATAAGGCTTAAAAGAGCAGCAACGGCTCTTGGACTCTTTGTAGGAAAGCAACATTGCTACATTTGTTTCTTGTTGGTGTCTTTTGTTTCTGAACTTCGTGGGGCTTTGCCAAGAAAAGCCTTTGGCAGGGTGCCAAAGAAGACAAAGGTTTGTGATAAGGCCGAAGGACTTTTTCTGGAGGACTTGTTTTGGAATTAATTTGGACTAAGCTGAGAATGAAGTAATTCTCAGCTGTTCTAATAAAATATGTTTGTTTAGGACTGATTGTGTCTGGTAATAACTACTTGGGCCTAGGTCACAACACACATGTTGTACTCTGACAATAAAGGTTTGAATTTGAATTTGATATCCAGAAGGTGCTAGTTAGTTCATAATATGTTAAACCTAAGTGACGATGGTAGTATAGTAGTGAAATATATATTGCTGTTGAGTATTTTTTTTCACTTCATCTTGTAAATGCAGAAGACAGTCATGGATGATATCAACCCAGCTGATGATCCCAACAACCAGGGAGAAGATGAATTTGAAGAAGCAGAGCAAGAGAGGGAAGAGAATCTCCCTGAAGAGAATAAGGAGCTAAAACCAAATAACCAGAAACAAGCGAATTCTGAAATGGAAGACCATTTGGTGGTGAGTCAGTGAAACCCAATGCCTCTCTTTATGAAATGATTGTAACTTCAAGTGTTATCCATGCATGGGTGAAAAGAACCCTTGCAAACATAAGGTGTAGTATGTGCATTATAACATCTTAAGGCTCATCTGCTGGTCATTCTGGACGGCTATTAGAGAAATTTAGATTTCCTATTGTGATAGCATTTTATGGGTTTCTTTTGCCCCGTCTACCTCTCATATTTCTTTCAGATGAAAATGGAAAATTTCTAAAATCAATCTCAGGAGTCTTCCATCTTCTGTTCCTTGACATCTCTCCCTCTTCTGCTCCACTCAATGTTACCCTTGTGCATTTTTGATGAAGTGCAGGACACCGAAGGAATCCAGATGCAATGGTATGCATCATTGCATTAGATCTCCTTTATGAGTTATGCTTCGTGCACATAAGCATGGGTGAGCATTTGTAGCTTGAACGGAGAGAAAGGGAAAGGCTATAGGGGGCGGGGGTAATCAATAAAGGAGAATAGAAATTGGAAGGAAGCTGTATCTACAAATGATTTATGAGAACTTCAGAAATCCAAAAGAGAAGAATTGCAAAGCATCAGCACTCTGTGGCCAAACTCTGCCAAGTATTAGAATCTCAAAACAAAGGGAGAAATAGAGAAATCTGTTTCCTTGTGTTAGACATGAATATCAATACAGTACCCAGCGGTGAACTGCATGAATGAAAGCAACGTTCTCAGGTGATTCTGTTCATGCATCAATCTGCCAACCAACAAGTACAGAAAAAAACATGTAAGAGAGTCTTCCCTAATGTAGTATCGTCAAGATATAATGAATTATAGTTCCCAGAATTCTCAGCTGGCCTGATCAACAATATATGGGGAAGTTTGGTGTGAGCAAAACTTAGTTTAGTTTTATCTATATAAAATTTATTTCTCTTCCTAAGCAAACTTCTGCTTCTGGCTTTATGTAGTAACAATAGGATATATTTTTTGTACCTAAAATGAAAATTAAGCTTGGTTCACACATCACACAAAGGCATTTTGAATTTTGTTTGGTTTGGTTAACAGTTTGTCTAAACTCAACTGTTCTGGTTTGTAAATTTTGATTTGTATGACTTTAGTCAAATTGTGGCATATTCAAAAAACCATGGCTTTGCACAATGTGTAAACCCTGTTCCTATGGGCCAATTCTGACCAAATAGCGAAGTATTTTAATGAAAAATGGTGCTTTGATGCTATGTAGGGCATCATCATAACCAACATGTTGAAGTAGACCCTGGAGCAAACTTACACCCAATGCAACTTGTGCAGCAAAGGTATTAACATGGTATACGGTATACGGACTCCTAATAATATCCGTGCATCTGCATTCTGTACCAGCTAAAATTTCTGCATGCTGTTCTAGGGTAGCCTCATGTAGAGTATGTTTATTTACTATAACCTCCAGACACCCCAAGGGGGAAAGCATGAACCCCAGCCTTGTTCCTGTAGTAGTTATCTATGACATAATGATTTTTAACAGTTTAACCAGTGCGTACAATCATTTTCCGGTTACCAAATAACTAAAATTCTTGTGAACTCCCTTTTTGAAACCACTATATACATATTATTAATATTTGAATGTGCTACTTTTTGTATGATGAAATGTATTGCATTTCTTTAGAATATTTCATCTCACCTTCCTTGGCAAACTCAAAAGCCATGTAAAAACAAACAGAAATCAAAACAGCCCTAAGACATAATAAAATTATGTTTTTATTTTTAGAAAAGGAGCAACATATAATAGAGCTCAATTTAATAAATTACCTGCTTGAACAATATATTGTGAACACATCAATTAAATTATAATACAAGAGAATATATGTAGCTTTGGTGCTCTCTGAGCTTTTGATCGACTGATGATGTTACCTAGGTAATGTCTGCAAGTAAACAGCCAAGCTCAGAAAGCACTAAGGACTCCACTTCAACTAAATGAATAGTTTTAATGTTTTAGCAGAATACCTTGGAGAAAGAGATTTCATAATGGAGCTTTGAACATCAGAAAATGTATTTTTCATGTCAGGCTTCTGACATTTTTCTTTTCAGTGAAAACCAAAATATATTAACCAAACCATCATTTAAATAAAACAACCTTTGATCCCATTCCTTTCTTAATTAAGAATGTGGGAATAATCTATGCAAACCCTCCACTTACAGCCAATGATAATAGAGGAATACATTTGGAACATACCAAGATGGAGAGCGCTATCTTTTTTTCCCCATAGAAATTGCTGATGGTATTGAGCTGTTTGACAGCATGTATCCTGAACATTTTTTTCCCAACAATAGGGATTGAAACTCTGTCACCTTTAAACACAGCTGCCTTCTGCAGATTAACCACGTTCATGTTGATGTCATGTCACAAATCTCACCTTGACTTATTCTCCAAAGCTGGGGTCGTCAAACTCACGTCGTCACAGCGGCATCACGTGACATATTGGGACTTCCCCCCCTTCGCTAAACTGGCCGTGGGCGTGGCCAGCCCATGACGCATCCAGCTCACGGGCCGGGAGTATAACAGCCCTGAAGATAGAACAAAATGGATGGAAACTCATCAAGAAGAAAACCAACGTAGAACTAAGGAGAAATTTTCTGACAGAACAATTAATCAGTGGAACGACTTGCCTCCAGAAGTTGTGGGTGCTCCAACGCTGGAGGTTTTTAAGAAGAGATTGGACAACCATTTGTCTGAAATGATGTAGTGTTTGCTGCCTGAGCAGGACTAGAAGAACTCCCAAGGTCCATTCAAACTCTGCTATTCTGTTACATAAGTCACTCAATCCTGTTTTTTTAGGAGAGGTGGCTCAAACAGGGATCTGCAGTCCTAGAGCCCTCTGGCAAATCAGCCCTTTTCTGTCTTTGGGGTGTTGGAAAGAGATTTTATTAGGAAAAGGGGGGGTTAAGCCTTCATGGGGTTAAAGTATTAAAGTTGTCAGCGTTCCAGAAAACCCCCAACTCCAAGTAAAGATGCGGAAGCAAGCATTTTCCAAAGTTCTCTTTACTAGAATAGGTAAACTGGCACATCTGGGAAAACCCGAATCTGAATAGGTCAGGTTTTCCTTTGGTAAGTCAAAGCTCCCAAAACCATCCCCTTTTCTCCCCAGCCGATCACATGCTCCAATCAACGTCCGTCCCATCTCGACTCAGCCCCCTGACCACTCCTTCTCCAGATGCTGGATCGCCCTGACCTTGACCGACAGGAAGAATGCTATTATGTCTACTAACCCTCTCTAATAAATCCCCCCCCTCCTGCTTTCCCACACATGAGAAGGTGGCAGCATTGAAGCTTCCGGCCTAATATGGCTTCCAAAGCTGGCAAAAGTATTGTTTTCTCCCCTCAAACGCTTGAGGGGAGAGCTGCCCTGTACCCACCTTTTGCAGAGTGGCCCTCTATATGCCATTTTGTGGCCCTTGAACCAACAGGACTGTGTAAAAGCATTAGCAGATATTGAGGATAGCTTAAAATGTGCTTGTTACAAGGAGCTTTTGAAAGAAGAAATGCTTAATCCAGCGTCTGGGTTTCTGATGTTTTAAAAAATTATTTAGAAGAGCATTGATCCTCTTTCTCCTGCTCAATATTGATTCTCCTAATACATACAAACTAGCATTATAAGGTCTAGACAATTTATTTATTTATTTATTTATTTATTTATTTATTTATTTATTTATTTATTTATTTAATTTGTATACCGCCCTTCTCCCAGAAGGGACTCAGGGCGGTGAACAGCCAAAATTAAAATACATACAATACAAAAGTTAAGATAATTAAAAAGAATTAAATCATTGGCTTCCCAATTTAAAACCCCCAAGTCTATAAAATTTAAAATCCCATTTAAGAACCATTTAGGCTAGGCCGGCTTGGTGAAATAAATAAGTCTTCAGGGCCTTACGGAAGGTCCGGAGGTCCGGGATCAGTCGTATTCCAGGAGGCAGCTCGTAAATTAATAAACTTTAATTTACTCTTTTCCTCTGGATAAATTCATTACAAAGATTGAGATCAAGAGAAAGAGAGAAGCATTTAAGAATAAATATTGAATTAAGTAATCCTGTTGCTAAACACTGTATCCACCTTTCACATCACTGAAAAGAGTTTAGAAGTGGAAATTATATTAGAATGTATTGTTTACAAAAAATATCCAAATCATTTACTCAAGCATGAATATAATATTAATATAATTTTAATTGCTGTGTTCCATATTCTTAAGCATTGGCCAGATAAATTGTGTTTTATACTATCCATATTCAACGGTGACTTTCAGTACATTTCTAAATAAAAATAGTTTATTAAATGCATATGTCACCTGACGCCCAGTGACTCTAGGCAATCTAATTGCTTCCAGATTATTTTTTAAAAAAGAAATAAATACAAAAGTTTCAACACATTTTGGTCACAGTTGTGATTTGGAAGGCTTCTCCCAGTAGTGGGATTCAAATCCTGTTGCTACCGGTTCGCTCATGGGTGTGCATGCACTCGTGTGTGCATGCAGTTCTTCTGCACATGCGCAGAGACATCTGGGCGGTGGGAGGAGCCTCCCACCACCGCCACTACCAGTTCGCCCAATCCGGGACAAACTGGTAGCAACCCACCACTGGCTTCTCCACAGTTTCATCTTGTGCTCCAGTTGCAGGCTTTCTTTCATTGTGGGGGCTTGCTCATAGTCACTCATGCCTTGGCCAACTTTCATTTGGACTACTAATAAAGGAGAATGCTTGTAGCTCAGGATTGGAATGAGGAGTTTTGTTAACACTGATAGTGCTATCTAATTTAGCTAATGAAGCATCTGCAAAAAAACATCCAAGCTCAGAGAGCAATGAGTCATTTGGACTCATTTTACATGGAGCTGTCTTTGAACATCACTCTGAGCCCATAAGATAGTCCAGAACATAGAACTCAGATTGTTAGGGGCAATTTATTTATTCAAAAATAAACACCTTTTCTGTGAGAGCTGCTCAGGTTACGTTTTGGGTTTCCAGGTACGACTAAATGTGTTCATGGTTCATGTAAATCTCTTCATAGCTTTGGCCTTAAATATCTTCTGGAATGTCTTCTCCCAGTGACCTTTGTCACCTGAAGAGATCTAAGAGGAAGGACTCCCTCTGAGTCCCTGCTCTGGGTCCCTACATATGCAGGGATCCTGGAGGCCAGCCATGTCTTTGTGGCCGCACTTTTCTGGAATAACATCTCTGCAGAAACATCATATTCTCCCCATTCTTGGGTTTCTATAAAACCATTGAGATCTGGCTGTTTTCAAAGCCTTTTGAATCTGAAGGATGGAATGAATTCATTCTTTAGTTGAATGTTAGTTGGCTAACTGATATTCCCAATTCTCAGATTTCTTTTTCTTTGTTTATTAGTTTCATTAGTAACTAGATTGTTTCATGAATATTATTATAATTGTATTATTTTTAAAAAATTTTATTACTGAGTGAATTGGAGCAGCATTATCAACTTTATAAAGGTAAATAATTTGTTTAAAATGATGGGAAGAGAACATCCAGTTTGTTTCGTGTTGATTAATAATGTATTTGTTTTCATCTCAGTCTTCGAATATATCAAAGCAATTAGTGGATAATCCAATTGATGTATCATATGTCTTGAGTGATTCATTCCATCAAAATTCTGGATTGTTCTGCATTTTTAAAAAACAGGTCTTATTCTGGATGAATGACACAAAAACCTACATTTATTTTTGCATACATCTTTGCCAAAATATGATCTTAATGTGAATCTAAAATTAAAATTTAGTGCAAATTTTAATGCAAAACGATAAGCATTTAGCACCCTGTATTTTTAGCTGAGAAATGTTTCAAAGGGTAGGTGAAAGAACTCAGTGAATTATGTGCTCATTTGTACCGCAACAGACTCCGTTTTGGCAGACAAAGCCTCTGTGCTTGAAAAGATATCCATGATAGATATTTCCAGCATCCCTACATTAAACCATGTATCAGTTTGATTTTATGGCCCTGTGTATCAAACTATTCCAGATCTTTCAACCACAGTTAATAGACTGACCAAACTTATGCCTGTACAGTTCTCCATGATATGTGAGCTTTCAGATTTAAGTCTTTGCAATAGCCCAGCCTGTCTATAGTTTTGCCTGACCTTTATTTTATTTTTTTTTAAAGTCAATACTTATTTTCTGAGTTCTGGAGCTGCAGGAATAAGAGCAGCAGAGTCTGTTTGATTTATCTGCAGGTGGTGGGCAATCCAGATCAGCAGGAAGACAATGTGGATGAGCAGTACCAGGAAGAGGGAGAAGAAGAGGTAAATAACCTGAAATTATGAACCCTACTTCGCAGGTTTATGGTGAGGAAAATATATGGCGGTGGATTGAATTTATGTGTCCTGTTCTTCTTGGAGGAAGGGCAGACTGAATGATGAAATACATTACAGGAAAAAACTGCAATAATATATTTGAGTGGAACCATAAGCCCATATTTTTGAAGTGGCAGGTGTACAAGTCCAACAATGTAATGTATAGTCCATAATAATGTATAGGTAGGATGCGGTGGCTCAGTGGCTAAAATGCTGAGCTTGTTGATCAGAAAGGTCGACAGTTTGGCAGTTCGAATCCCTAGCACTGCATAACGGAGTGAGCTCCTTTTGCTTGTCCCAGCTTCTGCCAACCTAAGAGTTCGAAAACATGTAAAAAATGCAAGTAGAAAAATAGGGACCACCTTTGGTGGGAAGGTAACAGCGTTCCGTGCGCCTTCGGCATTTAGTCATGCCGGCTACATGACCACGGAGATGTCTTCAGACAGCGCTGGCTCTTCGGCTTTGAAACGGAGATGAGCACCGCCCCCTAGAGTTGGGAACGACTAGTACATATGTGCGAGGAGAACCTTTACCTTTACTTTTTAGTTTCTGCAAGCAAGGACAAGCTAAAACAGTACATAGCTCAAAGAAGTACTTCATATAGAGTTAGTCCTCAACTTACTACCATAATTCAGCCCAAAATTTATGTTGCTAAGTGAGAAATTTGTTAAGTGAGTTTTGCTCCATTTTACGACCTTGCTTGCCACATTTATTAAGTGAATCACTGCAGTTGTTAAATTAGTAATATGGTTGTTTAGTGAAATCTGGTTTCTCCATTGACTTTGCTTGTCAGGAGGTCACAAACGGAGATCGCATGACTCCGGAACACTGCAAACATCATAAATGTGAGTCAGTTGCATCCGGATGTAAATCACATGACCATGAGGATGCTGCAACTGTCATAAGTGTGAAAAATGGTCATAAGTCACTTTTTTCAGTCGTTGTAACTTTGAATGGTCACTAAAGGAACTGTCGGGGACTACCTATACTTCATAATCCTATTGGGTTAGTCGGCCCCACCCATGCTGTCAGAGGAGGAACAGGATTATAACTGCCAGAAATTTTATGACTGGGAATTCTTACAACTTTATTCCAAGATATTAAAAGGGGTTTTTTTCATTCATTCAATCAATCAATCAATCAATCAACCTCTATAACTTTCCAAATCAGCCAAGTGACTTGCAATTCTAAAACTATAAAACAGATAAAAGCAATAAAGCAGTAAACACATCCACAAAATAAATACATACAGCGGCCAAGATAAATGTTTCCTACCCAATAGGTACAGTATAAGCCAAATGGGTACTTTTATCTTCTATAATCATTTTGTTCTTAAACATGTATATTTTTAATAGGCCCAAGGAGATCTACCCGAAGAGAAGAAAAGGAGGCTGGAACACAATGGTGAAGATCCATATGGTGAAAATGATGAAAATGTAAGCACTGCACAATTAAATAATGAAATGAAGAAGATGCTACAGTGGGAAATGGACTTTGATCTAAAATGATGTGCTTTATCCATTGAATCTCATTAACTATTACTCTTTCTGCTTTGATAAAAGCAAATGTATTCCTACTAAAGCAAATAAGTCTTAATCAGTGTGTGGACTGGCAAACACTTTGGAGCCTCATACCAGCTTTTCAGAACTTTTTACAAAACACAACAGATGCCAAATTCAACAGAATCAGTGATACAGCCTTTGTGGGGGGAAGGGGGGGAGTGACTGCTAATTAGATTGTAGTGAAGCCAGAATGAATATCAAGGATGTATGGATTACCTGCGAAGCACTGTCACAAATCTGCATAGCATTAATAAAATGCTAACAAAAGACCCATTAGGGTGAAGGGATGCAAGCTTTTTCTAACCAGGGTTGCACTTGGCTTTTTATCACCATCTTTTCCAAGTAGGCAGCTCAGGAAAAAGCAACGGAAAATTACTTTATTTTTAAATAAAATTGACATTAATATTAATTAGACAATAGATACCAGGATTGCATTTAATCATTTTGCTGCTGGATGGGTTGGGTACTTCAAATGCTTAGATTAATTAATTAATTAATTAATTTGTCAGATGAAATTTATATAAATCTGAATGAGCAAAATAAAAAGAATTAAAATGTGACAAGAACAATAGGAAACATTCGTGCGCTTACATACTCCCTTTAGGGACCTCTTAAATATGGGGTAAGGTCCATGGACGCTAAGTTAAAGCTGTGAAAGTTGGTGGCTGAGACAACTCAATGGGGTAAGATTATGTACTTTAGAAGCTGCACAAGTGTGCATACTTCATTTATGACTCACTTTAAAGAACGAAAGGTGTAGGGCGCTAATATCATATCCCTTTGAATTTTCTCCCATTTCCAGAAAATTATCTGGAGGGGAGGGAAGCAATTCCATCTATTTTGCTGTAACAATTAGAATACTATAGAATTTAATCTAAATTTAAATCAGAATAGAGCAGGAAGGGACCTTGGAGGTCTTCTAGTCCAGGCCTGTCAAACTGGCAGTCCGCGGGCCAGTTGCGTCACACAAAGGCCACGCCCCTTGGTGCTCCGCAAAGGCAAAAAAAGTCATGATATATCATGATACATCACATAATGCGATCAAGTTTGACACCCGTGTTCTAGTCCAATCTCTGCTCAAGAAGGAGGCGCTTTCAGACAAGTGGCTGTCTGGTCTCTTCTTAAAAATCTCCAGTGATGAAGCACCCACAACCTCTAAACTCTTCCACTGGTTAATTGTCCTCACTTTTAGGAAGTTTCTCCTTAATTGCAGGTTGCTTCTCTCCTTGATTAGTTTCCATCCATTATATTTCCAGTTATAAACGGTATTAGTTTTACTTCCCAAAAGTGTATCCTTTTCTCTATTTTGTTTGTTCGTTTTTTTCAATCTGTGTTCTGAAATCATTTCTCTCTTTTATCAATTTTGGATATCCAGGCTGAAGAAAAGATAAGCGAAGGAGTTGATCAAGAGGAAGACATTCAGGAAGGGAAGCAACAGAAAGAAGGACATGATGAAAACTATGAGGAAGAGGAAGAGGAAGAAGAGGAAGAAGGTGGTCCTGTTGCAGATAAAAGCCGCAGACGAGGGGAAATGTAATTCTGGGATTGTTTTCCTGACATTATGTGGAAAAAAAAGGGACGAGGTCAAGAGCAAAATTGTGTAGATTCTAGAGGGGAAAAAAGATGAGCCTTTTAACAAAAATGAATATATTATATTTTTTTTTATTGGAGGTTTTGTGCATTTATATGAATACAGTATTTTTAGTGCATTTTTAATATAAGTTTTATGGGACAAAAATAGAATAGGAAAAGTAGTATTTTTCTTTTTTTTCTTAATTTTTTTATGATGCTTTTTTTTTTTTTTTTAAAAGGGGGTGTATGTGTTTTTGTTTGGCATTGTCCAAATAGTAAGAAGCCAAGGTATTCTTTAAGCCAACGATAAAACTAGTGCCTGAGCTTGAAGCTTGAGGAAGGGCTGACTGCTCCCATATCTCAATTCATTCACTTCTGTGAGCCTACTGGTTGCTGACTTGCCCTGTGATCATTTTGGTTAGAATCAGACATGGTATTCAGCTGGTTCGCACCAGTTCACGCGAACTGTTGGTGGAAATTTGGCCAAGATCGCCGAACTGGCAGCGATGGCCGGCTGGCCACACCCCTGAACCAGTCCCACGGTCGCCACTCACTTGCCCCGCCCGCCATGTTCATCACCGCCATGTTCTTCGCGCACGCACATCCCATTGCCTTGTAAGTTCAATGGGATGCGCATGCGCACAAAACATAGCAGCAGCTTTTTCTGCAACCTCTGGTACTTTTCGGCGGCCAACAGCCAGCCGCTGCAGCCACAAATCGGCTCTCAAAGAGGCTTCTTTGCCAGCCACTTTTCAGCAGCAGCAGCTGGCTGGAGGCCGCCAAAAACTCCGGTCAGCTTGCTTTCTGGACCAGCTGCCATAGAAGGTAAGCAGCCCGAACCAAGAGGTGGTGGTAGGGGAGGAAGCAGGGCTAGGGCCGGGGCGGCTAAAGGAGGGGAAACGGGGGTGACTGGCAAAGGGAGGCAGGGGTAGATGGGTGGAAATTCCAAAAAATTTCCTACCTTTTCCTGTGGGTGTGGCTAGATGGGAGGGGGTCATGTGGCTGAGTGGGTGTGGGCGTGAGTGATGGCAAGTTGGCCATGTCCACTCAGTCACATGCCCCTCCCTAGTCACGCCCACCGAACCAGTAGCAAAAAATTTTGAAACCCACCACTGGTTAGAATCAAGTTTGCCCAGGTGTTATTGATGCAGATGTTGTTAGCACAGATTTTTAACAGCTATGTTGGCATATTCCAAAAGGCACAGCAACAGGTGAATGAATGCCTGAGCTTGTGTCAGATCAGAGTTTTCATTTCACTTCTGTGTTTGTAGGCTGACTGTTATCCTTCTGTCCATCCTTATGAACTTCCTAGTGGTTGGCCATCGTATGACACAGAATGCTAGTCTAGATGGTTGTCTGTTCTGATCCAGCAGGGTAACTTTTATGTTTGATCCTGCCTTACACGCCCTAGTTCTTTCTTCAGGTGTGTTAGGTTTGCAACTGGGTAGAAATTTTGGGACTTATAGCCATAACTCAATTAGATGGTATGAAGCTGAAAAAGCCGCCTTAACCCAAGATTGGTTGTCATCCATTGATGAAGATAGAATGTTCTCAGTCTTTCATTGACTTGTTTTCATATTCTATGAAAGCTCACATTTGAAAACTATGGAAATTGCTTCTGAGTGAACCTGTGTACATTTTTGCTATTAGAGACTCCCATTTTGTCTACTTTAAAAGCTGAAATGTATATGTGACCCTCTTCTTCCTCTGGTTTATTTGCAGTCAATCATACTTGGTTTTCACCATTGCCTAATTTATAAAAAGTGACACTGGACTAACTTTCAGATTGTTCAGGTTTTTAAAAAATAGCTTTCTCTCAAGGCTTTTTTATCTCAATGATTCTCACAAGAGTCTGAAAACCATCTTGGTTATATCAATTCAGAGTACAGGAAGTATTTTATGCATACAAAAAGCTAGTGTGTTGGGATTAATAGAGTAGTACAGGATTGGAAGTATACTTATATTTTTCCTTGTTGAGTATCTTGGTCCAAAAGTCCAGATGGCTGTTCTTTATTGCACTGGATTTTAGCCCAGATTTGTTAGCCCTGTCACCCATCTAGCATCTGAAACAGTACAGCATAGACACAAATTAATCACTTAGTTTAGTCATGGACAACTTTTACTCTGGTGTCTAATACACCATATGTTCTCTATTCTACTCTACAAAGCTCCCCTTGCACACCCCTTCCATTATCCATGCCCCCTATTTTTAATGCAGTCTTTCTTGTTTTGTTTAAATTTTAGGAGATGTTTCTAGTAATCATACTCACAAGAGAATCAGATAGTTTCTCCAGATATTTTGGTCTTAAATTGATTTTTTCCGTATCGCTGTTTTGGGGCAACTATGAAACATAAAAAAAGGAACATGTGGATAGCTAGAGGGAGCCTTTGGCCAACTCTCTTGCTTTATCCATTCTTGTATTTCTGATGTCGAGTTCTTAATAATTTCCAAAATGATCTTGGAGCAACTGTATTGTTCCTTAGTGTTAGGAAACAGAGGCAATTTCTTTTGAACCTGCTCATCTTTGGAACTAAAGTATGAGAATTAACCAATCGGTGTCACAATTGGTAACAGAATGAAGTTTTCAAATACTCATAGCCATTCCTGTCTTCTTCAACTATTAATCACTTGCTTTGATTAATCAATAGTGCTTACCTCATGTTCTTGCTGATGGAATAATCAATATACGGTACATTAATATGTGCATGCACAGAAGGTAATAGTGCCTGCACCACCTGATGCTATAAGGGTCACAAATGCTGTGCAACCACCTAAGAAGTAAAAGATTGCTCCCAAACTCCATATACTATGAACTCCAACATAGTAAGATATTCTATGCAGATCCTGGAAAGAAGCCTCTCTCCTTCTACGCCACAGAGCCTTGATGAAGATCCCACCCTAAAAGTCATCTTCCTCACTATAATTCTCCACCTTATCTTTTGCACAAAAGAGTGAATTTCTTTCAGATATACACACATTGGGGAAAATTCCCAAGTTCAAGGTTTATTCCAGGTTTCTGTTCTCATCCAATAATGTCAGCTATGTTAACCTTATATATTGATTTCATTATGTTTATACTGGCCTTCAGCCTGTATTGGTCTCTGGTGCTTCCCCCCCTTATTACAATGCACTGGGAATAGGGGATATTTGTGATGTTTGTAACTTGCAGTATATGCACATATACACATATGCGTACCTACCTATATCCTTGGAGATTTCAATTATTTATGGCGGTCTTCTCCAACCCGGGCATGCAGATGTTGGACTTCAGTTCTCAGAATTCCACATTTTAGCATGGTTGTTGCTGAGAAGAGTTTGAATCAAAAGGTTGGGAAGATTCCTTCATGCACAGGCCAATTGGACATCTTCTGGAACAGTGTTTCTCAAACATGGCAGCTTGAAAATGTGTGAACTTCAACTCCAGAATTCCCCAGGCAGTTGAAGAATTGAAGTCCACGCATCTTCAAGTTGCCAAAGGATAGGAAACAATGTTCCAGAATGTTTTTCAGAAGCACAAAACATTCTTCAAATCAGGGGTGAAATTCCATCTTATTTCCATCACAGGAAAGAAAAAAATAATCCAATGCTTGAGAATCTTTTCCCATTTTTTTCTTTTAAGATACACCACAACAACCATAATGGAAAATGTCTTTTAATCTTTTTATATGAATGTAATATAATTCATTTTGTACTAACCTGACGGTAATTTCCTTTTGTAAATGTTTTGAACCATATCTTTATACATTTTTAAAAGGATTTTGTGTTAAACATGGCATCCAATTGTATATGTATAACAATACAAATCTGAGTTTACTAATTAAACAAAATTATCTTACAGGTGGTGAAAGAACTTCCCTGTTTACAGTTATGTAAAGTGTATGATATGTACATACCCTTTGGAATACAAATATTTTGATAAAATTCTGTGTATTTTTCATGCCTTGGGGCAGTATTTAATTTTCTGAGGCTTTAACTGAAGACCATCAATAAATGGTAGACTTTGAAATAATGCTGATTTTAAGGTGTGTGCTTTTTGCTTTATTTCCACTATTGTGCTGGCTGTAAATTCAAGCAATGTGCATCATCCAAGTAGATGAATAACATTGCTTTTCGATAATCAAGTTCAAATAATCTGGGCTTTGATTCAAATCAAAAATCATTTTTCTGATCTTTGCAAACAAATACAATGAAGTAGGTGATCAAGAAAAGAATTTATTGAATCAAGATCCAGCAATAAACTTGTTAAAATATAATGCTTATCATAAGTACATAAACATATAAGTTTAGATTTGATTAACTTTATAATACAAATAGATATCTTAGAAACAATAATTATTGATGCAAAAAAATTTGTTCTTTTGAGGAACATGAGTATAAAGTCTGGGAAACACTTATTTTTATAAATTAGCAGTCAAATGCAATCTCCACACTGAGTCTTCAAATCATAGATACTACCTGTAGAATGTACATAGAAAGACTTTACCAATCGCAATAGCACTTAGACTTATACACCGCTTCATAGTGCTTCACAGCCCTTTCTAAGCAGTTTACATAATTAGCATATTGCCCCCAACAATCTGGGTCCTCATTTTACCCATCTTGGAAGGATGGAAGGCTGACTCGACCTTGAGCCTGTGAGATTCGATCTGCTGAACTGCAGCTAGCAGTCAGCTGAAGTAGCCTGCAGTACTGCACTCTAACCACTGTGCCATCTTGGCTCTTTTGCTTTGTGTTTGATTTTTACTACTGGCATTCTCCCTTTGTCATTGTTTTTCTTCTATACCTGTTTCCATCCCAAAGTTAAACTATTGTTTCTACAGCCTGGCATAAAACATTCTCCATTATTGGTTGCTATTTTCACAAACTTCCTTTGTATTGATTAATTTGGTTAATAAATAAATAAATTAACCAAATTAGTTTTTAATTTAGCTGATTACTCAGCCAAAACCACACAAACCACACAGTTTTTAATTACACTAGTGTCTTCAAGCAGAATATAACATTAACTAAAACTAAAAATAATTTACTTCATGGAGTTGGGAAAAATATATTTGTAAGGCTCATCACCTGGATCTTTTCTTATCCAATTCCATCTTGTTAATAGATTTGAGCTTAACCTTTGGCGATGAGCTGTTGTGCCTCTGTATTCCAATCTATGGAGCTCACCATGCTGATACAAGCTACTCAATGCAAGTCACAACCTCTAATGAGAGATGCTGTTATCTACCTTTATATTCCAATTTAACTATGGAAATGTATATGTTGTTACAAACTATCACCTGTGTGGTTGATACTCAATTAGTAGACATAGCTGTTTTCATGAGACACCTGAATCAGTAACCCTAATAAAAAAGTAAAGCACAGTTAAGTTGCTTTATCACAATAAAGCAAAATCCACCTACTATTTTTATTGGAATTCAAATGCCATTATAGTCCACTCAAATCCTGGAATATAAAAAAAGTAACTTGCATGCTATACATGATTTCTATGGAGAAGCTGGAGCTAAGCTTGTATGAATTTTATTGCTTTTTAGAGAATCTAGCTGTAGGAAGTACATTGATCTGTTTTAAACCTCAGCTTTAATAGGCTTCATTCAATTTACCCAGAAACATAAAATGTATTTAAACTATTATGGTGGTGGTAAGGCATAAACTGTAACTTGGGCCCCAGGGCCATATCTGCCCCCTCCAATTTTTAAGCATTTACTCCAGAATCCTCCAAAGCTTGCTATCAAATTGTAATTTGTACATGTGAAAGAAGAGGAAGAAAAATACTACGTATTAATAATTTTTAATCTATTGGAATTATAGAATCTTGCAGTGTAATGACTAGAAGGAATTAGATGGAAAACATAAGGTTGAACCACCTGCCAATGCAGGTAACACAATCCCTAACCATCCAGGGTTCATTTAAATAACAATGCACTTCAGTTTCCAATTGTTCGTTGTGTCAATTATTCTCTATAGGTCTAATTGGACAGCATTCAAGAGAGAAGACTAGATAACTTTTAACTTATTGGGGATAGAGGAGAAAATGATTAAAACAATGTATAAATTTTTATTAGAATACAAAATGCAGAAGAGCGTGTTAAAGAGGCAATGGTGGTATGGGCAAAGAACTTTGGGTACAATATCGAATTGGAAAAGTGGGAAAAACTGTGGGAAAGAAACAGGAAGCTAACGTTGGCCACGTCGTACAAAGAGAACCTTTATAAAATGTTTTATAAGTGGCACCTACCACCAGCTAGGCTAGCCAAAATGTACAAAAATTTATCACCTAAATGCTGGAAATGTGATCAAATACCGGGCACCTATTACCATTTATGGTGGATATGTAGAAAAGCAAAAGAATTTTGGCAAAGGATCCAAATGTGGTTAGAAGAAATGACAGGACAGAAAGTGGAACTCAAACCGGAACTATTTCTATTAGGAATTATAAAAGAAGGTTTAAGTAAAGGGTTAACATATTTAACACTGCATATCATAACAGCAGCAAGAATAGTTTATGCCCAACAATGGAAGAGTGAAAACATACCAAAAGAATGGGAAATAATAAAGAAAGTACTTGAATGTGCAGAATGTGATAGATTGACATTAGAACTGAAAAATAAAGGAGAGACAGAATACTATGAGATTTGGAATAAATTTTACCAATGGTTAGACTTAAGAAATGGAAGTCGGAACAGATAAGAACAAGGATGTATAGATCGAAACAAGATGCAATATATGTAATATAGTATGCATCTGTAAACATGTAAAAGAACTATGTGCATAGAATTAGTAAGTAGTAATGTATATTGAAGATATAATAACTTTTATTGTCATTGTACGTGTATACACAGTATACCCATACAACGAAATTCACTTAACACCCGAAGACCAGGTCCAACATACATAACAATCCCCAAACACATTCCCACCCACCACAATTCCCCACCCCTAAACCACCCAAACATCCACACAACAGACCAAGTAATGCTATCCATCAGCTCACTGATGGTGGCCCTTTGTTGAGTGCAATTATAGCTCTGGGATAAAAACTATTCAGAAAATGTGTGGTCCGAGTTTTAATTGTTCAGTATCTTCTGCCAGAAGGCAACAGTCCAAAAAGATTGTAAGCAGGATGGGAAGAGTCTCTGAGAATGTTATGCAACTTCCTCAAACAGCGAGATTCGAAGATGTCATCCAGGGCTGGTAACTGGAGCCCGATGATATTCTGGGCAATTTTAATGATTCTCTGTAGAGGTTTTTTGTCCACTACAGAGCTGCTCCCATACCATGCAAGAATGCAGTATGTCAGGACACTCTCAATGGTGCTGCATTATATGCAATGGTGCATATAAGAAACGTATGCTATATTTTATATGACGGAGGTATTGCCAAGACAGTTCCACCATGTCCAACTTTTGTTTTAACAATAAAGGTTTAACAAAGAGAGAGAGAGAGAGAGGGAGAGAGAGAGAGAGAGAGAAGACTGAAGCAAAACAGTTGAGGTGATCTGCTTTCTCCTTATCAAGTATAATTATCCTTTCCAGGCATCAGTCCCGTCCCTTCCTTTTTTCTTTTGACTTCTGACGTAAATAAAAATTGCTTGTATTGCTTTTAGCTTTCCTTGTGCAGTTCAAATCCTTTTGTGCTTCCTGTAGATATTAGCTACTTGCTGACAATTCAAATGCATTAATTAAATTTGTCCTTACATTAAATGCTATTTTTATCCTGGTCTGAAAAATGTTCTTCTTTGATAGGGGTATAAATAAAATAAAACATAGATTTCAATGGTTCTCTTTGTTTTGTGAAGAACCAATGGCATCTGTAGTTTCCCTTAATCCTTAAGGAAATTAATAGAACAAAATATTTAGAATATTTCCCCAATTCTTCCATCTCTAGAAAACATTATATAGTTTTGTATCTATCTTGCAAAAGAAGATAATCAACTGGGGGCACAGAATTATTCATTATGCTAAGAAGATGGGAAGTCATATTACTTTTATTTGAGAGGGTGATGAAAATCAAAGGATTACAAGAGATACAATATGGTTACTGAAAATTCACCAAACATTTCTACCAAAGCATCAGCTAATCTTCAAAGCATATAGCTTCCCAGCATCTTAGCATGACGTGCTAACTAACAATTCAGTGTTATCAATTAATAACAAAACAAAAAAAAAAAAGTTAAGATACACTATGGTTTAGTGTGCTGTGCAAATTTACGGGACATACAGTCCTTGTTCCTGATCACAAAAACCCATATGGTATTATCTGTTAAAAATAAATGTATGTATGTAAGATAAAAACATTCTTCCATACAATTTCTGCAGATCTTTGTACTATGGATCAGATTCCTCTCAAGGAATATGTTCTTCAACTTAACTTGTAAAATATGTAGCTTTTCCTACTTTTTTTTCAGCTGCTGAGGAAGGGATTCTTTGACTGTAAATGTAGAGCCGTGTGATTTGTAATCTAGCAAGTCATTTCATTAATGCTGTTGTGGAGCAAAGTGTATCTCAGGATCACAAAATAAAATGGGCTGCGTTGAAGTCTCTAGAGTCCTACATCAGCAGAATAGCTCAGGAAGTGGCTCAGGTTCAAACCATCTTTAGTTACATTCTTAAAATGGATTGTAGGAGTTAGCTGTAAAATACTTCATTTTGTTTTGCAAGGTACAGAAAGGACTTCTCTCAGAGAGTTCCTGAGGTAAAGAAACAAACTACAGTTAAACCTCCCTTTCTGAAAATATGAAAACTGGTTACTTTTTATATCTTGACCCATTTATACAATATTTCCTTGGCTGCAGGATGAAGGCATCTTGATAATTAGGGGGAAAAAAGTATACTGACAGCAGGAGAGACTTAAATGGCACACTCATTAAAAAAAAAACACACACCGGGCCAAATTAGTCAATGGAGAGAATGTAAGTGAATAATACCTGACTTCTAGCTGGTATCATTGAAACCTCTTTCTCTAGTGCAGACTCTACTTTAAATAACTAAATCTGGGGTTCCCAAAGTA